AGTGTTAGCAGCAGGGATCTTGGCAGGACTCGCCAATCAATGAAGCTCCGGCGAGATGTCAGGCACTTCACCCCAGCCGCCGGGGCACAGCTGCAATGGTTCCGGACGCTTGACAGATATTGCGGTGCTGTTTCAATGTGACATACTAGTGCCGGGCGCCGTCAACAGGCTCGCGTTGACAGGGCATGGCGCACATGAGAGCCGGCAGAAGTATTCGCGTGTACCTTCTTGAGCACGGAATGGAGCTTGTCGCCCTTCATATCGTGCCATATGCAAGGCGCATGGGACATGCGGCGGCAGATCAATCTGTCAGATAGTCTTGGACTGACGGTCCATAAAGTAAGCAATGCTTACGCTTTGTGTCGTGCCTCAGGGCTAGTGCCCAGACCGACCGCGTGGGGCCAGTCTACACTAGGTCAAGTTTATGGGCGCTGACAACGTTGAGTGACAGAGCCACCCGCATAACAAAAAAGATGGCCCACGTTAAGTACTTTCTTACACTCCATTTACCCCAAGACTATTAACAAGTGTTTTTCTTTGTACAAATAAGACCAAAATACATAGTTGGAATATACAGAAAACATACTTGATATAGGACAGGCTCGTATTGGTCTCAATTAATTTTAATCAATTTGTATAGGTCGACCTAGTTATCTCTTTAGTGTTCTGCTATTTGTAATAGTATGGGTAGTGTCAACGTGGGCTATTTTTTTGCCATGCAGGTGAGAGCTTGCTGTGACATACGGAACGTTTCTTTTCGAGTTCAAGCCTGACAACAGTTGGATGGAGTCGTGGAGATGCGCTCAAGGCGGGTGACAAATGACTTGTGAGCAGTTTTGTGGCCACAGACCTTCTTATCTGTTCCCAGCATACGGAACGTTTCTTTTCGAGTTCAAGCCTGACAACCGTTGGATGGAGTCGTGGATATGCGCTCAAGGCGGGTGACAAATGACTTGTGAGCAGTTTTGTGGCCCCAGACCTTTTTATCGGTTCCCAGCGACCGTCCGCGGCCCTTTTTTCGGGCTTTGGTCATATGAAACTATTTGCCCTCCATGTGATGCCTACCGGCAGTTAATGTCTCAACGCTATATTTCGGGAGAGGCTTGCCAGCCACTCTCGAGACACCCAAGGCGTGGCAGGAATGTCTCACGCTATCTTGCTGCAGGCTCGCATCGACGGGCTGTGGTGTTTCTGAGAGAACATGACGGGAAGGTGTAGATAGGACATCTATAGCCGCCGTCTCCAAGACTGGTTAGGGATTATTTGCCTATCGATAAGGTTGAATGCTCTCGGAAATGCAGTCGAGCAAGCGATGCGACGGCAAGAACAGTTTCCGGCTTTCACAACTGTTCGTGTGTCGTGGCAGCAAAATTGTCGACTTCGGAGCTTTGCCTCGAGTAAGAAAAAGAAAGTGCCTAGAGAGGGGCAAAATCATGCCGGTGCTTGCATGAGCATCGGCTGGCTCGTGTGCCCGGGAGGGGGGAGGAGCAGAGCCAGCGGGGACGATGGATTGAGTGGAGCCTGAAACAGCGTGGCATACATAGTATGAAAAAGAAAGGAACAACCGGCAGGGTCACCACTTCGGCGTTGTAGGACCTCCGCGTCGGGCATAATCCCGCCACCACGAGATGTCAAATCGGCACGAAACGCGGGGCTTGCGTAACGGGCGGCCGGCAATGGGGGTGGGGTCCGGTTTACACGGCATGCACAGACCACAAGCCCGTTGTCTCCGGACTTGTCGCAGCAGTCACGTGCAAGCCGTCATTGCTTGCCACCGGAGCTGTGTCACTGACTTGGGCTGCTTGTCTGCCGAATCAATATCATTGGGATTGACATTGAATCGGCAGTCGGTGAGTTGGGATAGGTGACACTGTCTGTTCCCGTAGCCAGGTTGGCCAAGCACGGGTCGCTGCCGGGCGGTTGGGTCCGGACTTTCGTTTGAATGCAGAGAATCGAAATTGTTGAGTGCGATCAGAATACCGAGAGCTGCATGGCTTCTGCATGGCTCCTCATTCTGCAAGCTCGACCAATTATCAAAGTGTTCATGACGGAGGGAGGAAGCAGCGGCTGGGCCCAGGCCTTGTGATGCTATCTCTGATTGCGGTCACGATGACGTCGTTGATGAGGTAGGCAGGTGGGTAACTCGTCTGCCTAGGTACATACCTACCTGAGGTGGTGTACGCACTTTCGTTCGCTCAACTTGACGACATACCTATACTGACAGCTTAGACTTCTTTTCTGTCCTAGCTTCAATCTCCGTGACCATTAAAACTCTCCTCACCCACCCTGAACCAAAGTCTTACTTCTGAACCTTCTACCATCCACCACAATTAAGTATACCAAACACATCATGACTGATAAAGGACAATTCGAAGAGGGTATGGTTATCCCTGCCCTTTCACTGGCCGCCCCCATACGATGGTATACTGACAAAAGTGTCAGGCTACAAGGTGCCGGTGACGGATCAAAAGTTCCCCGGCAAGGAGGGGAAACTACCCGTCACTCCCCTGTTCGACCGAGTCCCGACGCCTGATGGCGGCTCCAAGTTGTACCAGGCTGCTGGCAAGCTTGAGGGGCTGAAGGCTATCATCACCGGTGGCGACTCTGGCATCGGCCGTGCCACAGCAATTTTGTTCGCTATGGAAGGAGCCGACTCGTTGATTGCATACCTCCCCGATGAAGAGGAGGATGCCCAGGAGACCAAGAAGCGTGTCGAGGACTACGGCCGCAAGTGCTACCTCGTCGCGACCGACATCACTGATCGCGCCAATTGCCAAAAGATTGTCGACACAGCGCTGGAGAAGCTTGGCGGCATCGATATTCTTTTCAACAACGCTGCATATCAGATGATGGTTGAAAACATCAAGGACCTGAAGGAGTACGTATACCACCCACCCACTCTTGACGTTGTCGTCGGTGCGGGGCTTGAATTCTTCTAACACCATTGAAGGGAGCAGTGGGTTCACACCTTCAACACCAACATCCACCCGATGTTCTACCTGGCAAAGTACGCTTTGCCTCACATGAAGAAGGGATCAACAATCATCAATAATGCGAGCATCAACGCATACATTGGCCGACCGGACCTATTGGATTACACTTCAACCAAGGGCGCCATCATCTCCTTCACCAGAGGGCTGAGTAACCAGTTTTGCGACAAGGGGATCCGTGTCAATGCAGTCGCCCCAGGGCCGGTCTGGACGCCGTTGATTCCCGCGACCATGAACGAGGAGGCTCAGAAGCAGTTCACGAGCCCCATCGGACGCCCGTCACAGCCCTCTGAGATTGCGACCTGCGTCGTCTTCCTTGCCTCTACCGACAGCGCAAGTATCACCGGCCAAACTATTCACTGCAACGGGGGTGTTATTGTCAACGGTTAATTTAAACCTGATATTGGAAGTTTGATGGCGGTTGAAGGCATGTAACAGTAGTAATTAGCTAGTACGACAAGCACGATGATGCATGATGAATGAAGCTGCACGTGCCCTCCGGATACCAGGGCCCTGTTGCTCTCGTCGATGATGCCCCGCATAAGCCCAGTCTCATACCATCTTAAGCTGTGCGACTGTGTAAAATCATCCATTCCAGTCAATTGTCTTGGGAGGATTTGTTACATTGATGGTCTGCCTGCCTGCCTTTAGCAAACATGCCACCCGTGCGGCTGTTAAATCACAGACAGCTCAGCTCTCCAGCAGGTCATGGATAGGCCCAGAGCTAGGCCAACAACCCAGGGGAACCATACGGCAGCGCTAACCGCAAGTGGGCAAGTGGGAAAGACACATTGATGAAACAGGGGGCCTGGGGTGAGATGGAGCCAATCATGGACGGCCGAGGACCTGCCAAAGAGGGGCGGAGCGTGCTGTGCATGAACTGCATTTCCATTCATATATGCGGCTCCTGATGCATGCATGCCCGTCGAGATTGGAGAGAATTCCCACTGGACTGCTATGCCGAGCCTCTTAGGGTGACGGGTTACCTACATAGGCATGATGTTTGTTTGCTGGCTAGAACATATCAACACCAACCAACCAGCTGAACCCCTTATCCTCATTCTCATTGTTGATACAAGGTATCTGTCTGTTTGGTTTTATGGTGGATACTTATCTCGGCGGGGCAAACTAGCATATGCGCCGCCTCCATCACCCCGTGATTGGCGTTGTCAACCAATGTCTGTGTGGCAGGTAGATCTGGCACCATGTTATGTTGCCAACCCAGATACGAGAAACTTGGTCGCGTACATGTGTTTCCTATTTCAACCTACGTACCATCCCTTGTCGATACGCAGATACAATGCTGATCCGGGAACCATACTCGCCTGGCTACTAAGGAACTACGGCAATGGTCGGTCGCGTTGGGGTTGGTTCAAGACCGGTCCCATTCTCTGCGACGCCTGGAGACATTGGCAGGTGCCAGATCCTTTGTCTTTCTTTGGATTGGGTCTTTTTGTGTACCTGGAGAGTTAGGCAGCCAATGGCAAGCTAATCCCAAGTCTAGGCTGGGGGTACTGGGTCGGGTCCCCAAGATGCAAAGTAGTGTGTACGCGCAGCTCCCACGTGTTGCCCACAGACTCCGTAGACTTCTAGAGTATCGTAAGTACTCACTACCTGGAGCCTTTTCACTCCCCTCTAAAAAGTGTCGTGCTTTCCCCTTCCCTGATGCACCCTGTCGCAGGGCCCATCCCTTCATTTTCCTTCTCCCCCTTCCAGAACAACACGTTCAGTCCTCCTGTTTTGGGCCGAGCCACCCACATCTTCTCCATCTGTTGTTTTTCTTCTTCCTCCTCTTCTCTTCCTCTTCTGTATCAAAACGAACCTTGACAAGTTGTCCAGGACACTGTCTCTTTTTTTTCCCCTTTTAGCCTGCTGAGCTTTGCTCCCTGACAGCTTGAACCCCTCGAGCCGTGCATGTTAGCAGCTGCAAAGGACTCCACCAACATCGAATAAACGAACAACCAATTCCGCGCCGCATCTTGTCGCATTCACAAGATACCCTTGGCTACGATGGCCGCCACGTATAAGCAGTTCCTGGCTGCGCCCAACTCGTCGTTGCTCGCTCCGAACGCGACCCTCTACTACATCACCACGACCACCACTTACAGTGGCCCTAGCGAGATCATCAAGCATCTCAACACCCTGCGCAACCAGGTCAAGAAGCACAAGGAGGAGGTCCTGGATGTTGTCGAGGGTCGTGATGCTATCGCCGCCGAGGTAGACACCACTCTAGAGTTCGTCACCAGCGGAGGCGTCTACCTGCCCGGCCTGGATGACAACTTCCTGGCCGACCGCACTGTCTACCTTCCTATTGTTCGTACTGCCCCGCCCCCCCAAGACACCTGCCACCTGACCCAGCTGACACCTCGCGCCACAACAGATGCATGTTGTGAACTTCGATGGCGACGGCAGGATTACACAGATCAGACAGACTTGGGACCAAGGCGCCCTCCTGAAGCAATGCGACATCATTGGCAGGTCGGGCCGAAACTGGCCCATCCGGGACAGCACCGAGCAAATCAAGCTCATCACCAAGGGCTTGAAGGCCACTGGCAAGGCCGACACTGCTCCTGACACCAACGAGCTGATCAACCGCACACGCGGCAGCTCGACCAACGCCCTCCGCGACCCGCACGCCTCCCTCTCCTTGTTCGCGCCCAGAGAGCAACAGGCTGAAGAAAGCCCCCGGGCTGTCGTGTCACCTTATGCGGGCACACGACCGCATCAACGGTCTATCACCGACATTCTAGGCAATGCCGAGCTGGAAGAGCCAGGCTCTCCTAGCGCAGGCCGTGAGCGCGACGCGTCGCCCAGCAAGTTCGTCGCTCCCAAGAGCGGCGCCGGCAAGAACTTCCAGCCCAGTCGCTTGTTTGACGCTGATGAGCACGCCCATGTGCCCGACAGTCCCGAGCAAAAGTCACCCGAAAAGTTCTACCGGCCGAACCCCAAGAAATTCCAACACTTTGACTTCGCTGACGGCTCTGACCCGCAAGATACCCCCAAGCCCGCCGAGGGCCGTCCCAAGCCCAGCAAGCATGACAGCAGTTGGTCTTTTGACGATTTTACAACCCCGCAGAAGATCAAGCCTGGCAAGACGCAGCGCGCACAGGATGTTCGCCATTGGGACACCGACATCAACAACTCGGCAGTCAAGCAGACTCCGGTTGCACGGGTGGCCCAGGTGAAGGGCCGCCGTGATGCTGAGGCCCATTTCGACTTCGAAGACGACGGCCCAGCGGTCACTCCCCGACAGCCGGGACGACCCAAGGGCGCTGCACACAACGATGGTCTCCACCTCTACGAGAACAACCTGTACAGTGAAGATGGCAAGCCTCTTCCTGCCGACTCGGACCGTGCTCTGGGCAACATCACGAACCTGAATCACCGTCAGAAGGACTTCGATCCTCATTTCGCCATGGAGGATAACTCGCCTAACCACGCCGGTCAACAGGGGCGGGCGGCGGTCAGCGACTCTCGCAAGAAGGCGGTTACCCAGATGAACTCCAACTGGGAATCCTACGACGAGTCTCCCGCGTCGCAGAAGGAGAACAGGCCCGAGGCGCAGAAGGGCCCCGGCAGCGGCATCCACATTGCCGGAGACGGCATGGGCTCGAAGAAGACTAGAGACGATAAGGATGCCGAGTCGAAGGGTATCCACATTGCCGGCGACGGCATGGGCGGGAAGAAGGGCACCAACCGAAACTGGCTCTACGGCGACGCCGACGAGGAGGAGCCTATCAGGGCCATTCCGCCCAAGGGTGGTGGCATGACGGCGGCCCAGAAGAGCTTCTGGGACTTCTAAACACGATCGCCTCAGGCCTGTGCTTGTGCTGTGCAGCACTCTACGCCCCAGCAGGGCCTGGCATTTCTTGATTGTTTTGTTACGACCACGTGTCTTTGACACGCTGCCCATGAATCACGGGAGCGACTTACTGCTGCCAGAACTCTACCTGTTCTCCTCTCACCTGCGGACCCACACTCGAACCACTGCGCGATCGGAAGCAGCTCTGGAAAGACGCTTTTCTGGCTCGATACAATTGGATGTAACAATGCTGTGCTACCCCTCCGCGGGCGAGATGATGAGATTAAAGTTGTTTTTGGATTAGGGGCGATAGGAGAGGATGCTGAGGGAAAAACATAGGTTCCTCTATTATCTTATTGTGTACAAAGCCCATGATATCCAACAGACCGAAAACCTATTTTTTTTATCTGCCTGGTTTTGGCCACGACAAATCCTCCAGTAGGCATCTGGTGCTCGCCGGGAAACATGCGAGCTGCGTGGCACTGACTGTTTGCGTGCTGTCACAGTGATGTAGCCGGCCACCGTGAGTGAAACTGGCCGTCGACAAACAAGGGCATGTATCAAAGGCCATGCCGCCCTCCCTTAAAAAACAGGTACATGGCTGACGGCTGATTGAGCAAAGCGTCACGAGCTAGGCCAACCAACGGATCGGTTACCGGGAGTCTCGGTTGTCGCTACTCAATATCTACCACGTCTGGGCTGCGGATCGTGGATCGCTATGGAGCGGGAGAGACCGGTGACGGCCCCGCCTCACCTCCTTTGTATAAGCATCTGGTTTCCCGCTACTCAGAGAACTCGCTCACTCGACCACATCTGGTCTCTTGGTCGAGACATGCCCAACAAGTATGTAGCCCGTGTCCCGCACTCCCTCCCTGAATTCTCAAACCACAAGAGAAATATATCCATACTATTCCCACCCGGTAAATCCAAACGCCACGCTCACTGTCCATCACTTTATCGTATTACCCAAAGGCGAGGAGGGGAAGACAAATGAAAATGAAGAAAAGGGGAGAGAAAGAAAAAGCATGTAGTTTATACACTACTCGCCGCCTGGGCTCAGCACAAGACGATGTCGCCCCGCGCGCTCATCAGCACAGGAACTTGTACACGCGCTTCCACGTGGGCCACGACTGCCGCTCCTCCTGCTCCTGGGTGACGAGGATGCCGAGGTTGAAGTCGCGGCGGCCGGTGCTGACGTCCATGTCCTTGACGCGGACGATGGTAGTGCGGAAATAGAACTTGTGGACGACGTACATGATGACGACGATGGGAAACGCGGCGTAGCGCAGAAAGAAGTTGCGGACGACGGCCTCGGGCTCCCACTTCTCCCAGCCGACGGGGAAGGCGCCGACCCAGAACTGGGCCACGAGCACGAGGAGGTTCATGATGAGGCCGCACCAGGATCCCACGACGCCGACCTGGGAGCGGAAGGCGAGCTCGTGCAGGCCGTGGCCCTTGAGGGCCCAGGCGCGGCGGAAGCGGATGTGGCAGAGGCAGATGGAGGCCCAGGTGAAGACGGACGAGAGGCCGGAGATGGCGAGGAGCCAGTCGAGGACCTGGTCCTGCTGCTCGAGGTCGGCGAGATAGGCGATGAGACCGACACCGCCGGCGAGGCCGATGGCCATCAGGGGGCGGCCCTTGCGATCGACGTAGGAGAGGAAGCGCGGGGCCTGGTGCTGGTCCGCCAGGGCAGCGAGGGTGCGGGAGGAGCCGAAGACGGCCGAGTTGCCCACGGAGAGCACGGCGATGAGGATGACGGCGTTCATGACGGAGGGGAGGACGTCGATGCTGGCGTTCTCGATGGCGATGACGAAGGGGGACGTGGTGGCGTCGACGGAGGTGTCGGCGCCCAGGAGGCGCTCCTCGTTGTAGGGGACCAGCAGGCCGATGAGGGTGAGGGCGACGACGTAGAACAGGGTGATGCGCCAGAAGACCTGCTTGATGGCCGTGGGCAGCGACTTGCGCGGGTTCGCCGTCTCGGCCGCGGCGAGGCCGACCATCTCGGTGCCTGCGAAGGCGAAGGCGGCCGTGACGAAGACGCTGCAGAGGCCCTTGAGGCCGTTGTGGAACGCCCCGGGGTCCTGCCAGTACCGGCCGCCGATGTATCCGGAGTCGGGGGTCCCCCCGCAGTTGAGGACGATCCCGAGCAAGCTTTCGGGCGACGGCGGCGTTAGACGCGGAGACAAGACAAGGCAGACAGACACGGGGCCGGAGGGTTTAAAAAAGAAAAAGAAAAAGACTCACATGAAGCCAATCACGGCAATGATTTTGATAATGGAGAAGATGAATTCGGCCTCTCCGTATCCCTTGACGCCAAAGAGGTTTATGGCAATGATGCCGGTGAGGAAGATTGTGACGAAGATGGCCTTGGTAATGTTGGGGTCCCAAAACGTTATCGTGATGGATGCCGCAATGATCTCGAGCGGGAGGACGGTCAACCACTGCAAAGCGTAGCTGTACACACAAGAGACGTTAGCCCGCATGGAAGACGGCAGGCGGGTTGCGCTACTCACTTCCAGCCCATGGCGAAGCCCCACGAGGGGTCCAGGAACCGCGTCGAGTAGGCCGAGAACGAGCCGGCCACGGGGAAGGCAACGGCCAGCTCGCCGAGGGCCTGGCAGGTGCAATACAGCATGGCGCCCACGAGCGAGAAGGCAATCAGCAGCGAGGCGGGTCCGCCGACCTCGAGAGCCTGTCCCGACGCCACGAACAGCCCCGTGCCGATGGAGCCGCCGATGGCGATCATCTGCAGGTGCCTGCCCTTGAGCTTCCTGCTCAGCAGCGAGTTGGAGGTCTGCAGGTTCGCGAGGCGGATGTCGTAGTAGTGCACGCCGTTGGGGACGCGCCCGTTGCCCGGTTCCAGGTCTATGGACGAGTTGCTGTTCGACCTGTGGCGGCGGCGGTGGTGGCGCATATTCTCCGTCATCTGGCCCGGGTCGCGCTTGAAGCTCTCGAGCACGCGGGCGAAGACGCCCGGCGCGGGGCTCGGGTCGTAGACCGGTTCGCGCCGCATGCTGTAGCTGCTCCCGAGGGTGAGGGAGTCCTCCTTGACCTTGATGGTGCTGAGTTCGACGTCCTCATTGTACGGGGCCATGTCGTTTCGCAAGTTCAGGAAAGCGGCCCGTGTTCTTCTCTCGCCGCTGGTCGCACCCGGGAGGAAATGGCAAGGGTTTTTCGGGTCGTACGTATGTCGATTGGCCGGTGGTGGGTTGACGCCAATCGGTTCGCAAGAAGGAGAGAGATCGAGGGCCGTTTCGCTCTCTCTCTCTCTCTCGCTCGCTCGTTAAGCCGGGAAACCGCTCTTTAGTTGTCGGTCAGCTCTGCGAAGGAGCGCATGCCTGTCCGTGAAGGGGTATGTATTCTGGCGTCGTCGGAGAGCGGTTGGATGGTTCGACGGCTCGAGGGTCGCGTGATTGCGTCTTTGGCTGCTGGGTGTGGTCGTCGATGATGGGAGTGTTTTCCGGCAATCCAAGGTTTCACCTATCCGTACTTGGCAGGACGGACGGTCGTTGCGGCGGCGTAACGATTACCTTTCTCGCCGAAAGGGGGTCGGCCGACTCGTCGTGGAGGGAGAGGCCTATCAGGCTGGGTCCTCAACCTTAACCAGCAGCAGCACAGTTTGCCGCATTGGCGTGTTCGACAAAGTGACGGACGGCATGGTGGGATTGGGGGTACACACTTTGACACTCTATCTTTGCGACAGGGATGTTCCGCTGGCAACGCCACTCTCGATCCCTTCAAACGTTAGGTCGGCACCAAGACGAACAACCCCCCCCCCCCCCCCCCCCCCTCCTCGAACAGGCAAAGGCCCGGGCTGGGCCGGATAACGGGCGAGTAAGGAGGGCGATACTAACGGCTGGCCTCGAATCTTGTACTCCGTACCCCCAAACGAATCCACTTTGCTATCTCTCCCTCTCGCTTGTCGAGGGAGGTCAGCAATCGGTGCAGGCATATGCTTGTCCGGGGGTGACATGGGGGGGGGGGGGGATCTCCACTATTGAGGATGCCGGGTTCCTCGACAGCACCATCTCGAGACCTCTTGCAAACCTGCATCTTCTCTTGTCTGCTTAATTTGTGTATGCCCTTTGCGGAGACGCTGAAAGGCGTCGAATTGACTTTCGGAGAAATGCAACAAAATGCAAGAAAGCGTGCTGCATCATCTGTGCTCGTCCCAGCATTGCCTTTCTGACAGGTGCACAGCCCAGTCTGGGCTTACACGCCAAAGTCGTCCCATATTCTGGGCGCCGAGGCAGTCGACGGTTGGTCAATATCCCAACTGCGTCGTCGCTTGTGTTTGCGCTTATCTCCTGCGCCAGTTCGAAACATTCCGTATCCTAGATGAGATGTGCTAACCTGCGATGTAGAGATGTTTTATCCATCAGAGTCAGGTGAAGCAATATATACACACAAGCCACCATGATTCCGTACGCGCTTGGTCGGCAGGTTTACGCATTCAGGTTCGACTTATCAACGAAGAAACACTTGCTAGAATGCTTCTCATACTTGGCCCTCGTCCTCGCCCATCTTTACCGTTCTCACAACCCATGGAACCCCCCACAATCCCCCAAAAGCCTGCACCGCCGGCTCCATCCAATCCTGCCCCAGCCATTCGTCATCCATGGTCGCGATGCTGATGTTCACCACCTCGTCCCACCCGCCCGCCGGCTTGTCCATGAACCCGTACAGATCCTCCGTGATTCGGTAAGCCTTGCCAAAGTGCACCCCGCACCGCCCGCAAAACACCCGCGCCGCATCCGGCACGCACCCGGAGGCGTGGTAGAACCTGACCCACGTCTCCTCGTCCCCGGACGCGGTCCCGGGCTTGAACACTTCGGTCGCCGGGCGAAACTCCGCCTGCCGCTCCTCGTCCAGCTCTCCTGCCGATTCCCGCGGCGCCAGAGCTGAAAACCCGCCCGTCCCGACGTCCTCTGCCTTCTCGGTCGACTTGACGGGAAGAGCCGAGACGGAGACCATATACGCGGCGCACTGCGCCATCGCTGGCACCACGCTCCCGAAGCCGCGGCGGCAGCTGGCGCAGTGACACACGGCAAGGGTCGGCAGGCGCCAGTCCTTCTTCGCCTGCTCGGGCGAGAGGAAGAGGGATACTTTCATGTGCGTCGGGGGTCGGTCCGCGAGTGCTGGTATGGATATTTTGTAGCGGATGGCGCTGCAGTTGCAGCCGCCCGTGATCGTGAAGGCGTGGTCTGGTAGGGACGGCATGTTGCTTGTTTGGATAGCTTATGTAGGGTGGTTAACAGAGGTCACTGGCCCTTTCGCCTGATGAGAGTCACGACCCAAGAGCGTCAGGAGGAGGAAGTGTACCAGAGTAAGTTTAGAGTTTACTCCCAGCAAGGCATCACAGCTACTTTATATACAGGCTGGTGTCCTCTTCTAGATCCTGTTGACCCGACTTTCTTTTCGTTGGCCAATCCCCAAGACTACGCTTCGACATGTCCGTGGTAGCTTCGGGGCTAATATGCGGTAATAGGTACAAGACGACGTTCTGACGTAAGCCCTAGGGCCTGCAGGATGTCTCAGCTCACAAAGCAGAAAGTCATTTCCTTTTCACCCTTCTGTGTGCTTATGTTCCTCCCGTCTTACTCTGTTAAGGATCAAGGCGTTAGACTCTAGTTTCCAAGCACTTGTATCAAAGGTGTGCTCCCTCCGCACCTTGTTTGGACAGAGTCGGGGTGCTTTATCCACTCACATACGATGAGCAGTAACCAACTGGAAGACAGTGAATCAAACTTTGGATTCATGCAGTTGCTTTTGTACGGACCTAAATTACTCCCCATACAACGCCAGGCCATGCCATTTGGATTTGACAGACTCCAAAGACACAGACATGCTACTATATAAACAATACCTCCCTGACGGTCATAACAGGGAGATCCTCCATCAATGATATCATGCTTGCTCGACGATAATCTTTCCGTTGGCGTCTCTCGGCTTCCGCTTCCAACCGGTCTTGAACAGCTTGCCCATGTCAAAGCGGGGCAACGGATGAGCCTCAGTATTGAAAACGACTTTGTCCATGGGCAACAAGTCGTTGGGCGAGAACAAAAGGTAAAAGTACTTTAGAGTTTCAGCCTGTAGTTTTTGCATTAGTCACGCGATGCTTTGTTCTTACGCCCAGTAGCAACTTACCATCCAGAAGCTCTCCAGGTTGTCACGCACAACAGGAGGGATCGTGTTGGCGTTGCTCAAGCTCGTGAACCCGCCGCCTTCCTCAACCGAGGTGTAGTTGACGAAGGACTTGAACATTTCCCATCCCCACTCCCTGTAGATCGGATCCCCGGTGATCCTCCACATGTAGAACAAGCTCTCGACGGACTCGGGTCTCTGCAGATTGTGGACATCGTTGGAGTGAACATTGTAGTCCTCTCGCCACTTGGCGTGGGGGTCGGGGTCAAAGTCCTTCGGTGGATGATGCGAGGCTGTGGCGGGCGCCGGAGGGTTGTCGATGTTGAAGTAGGTGATCTCTCCAGCAAGCCCGGTCGCCATCCACTTATACATGCCCCAGCAGGTCTGCATGAGCTCGCGAGCCAGCTTCATGTCTTCGTCCTTCTTTGTGTTCCATGTCGGTAACCGTCTGGCCTCCGCCTCGGGGATACCACCAGTAGCTCCTAGCGCAATCGTTCCGGGCATGAAGCATACGAGATGGTCCATCTTCGGAGACAGCTCGTTGTTCAGCCCAGAGGGCCGTTCTCCAAGCACAGTGAAGCCAGAGGGCTTGCTATAGGTGATCAAATGCTTGCGCACGCCCTCGAGGGCTTCATCCCACATCTCTTGGTAAATAGGTTCCTGCTTGTTCGTCTGCAGGTACTGTTTGATCAGGTACTCATAGTACGAGTCACCGCGGGAACCGAGGCGAATGTTGTCGCCCCTGAACTCTCCCGTCGTGGCGTAGATGTAGATGGGAACGAGGCCGTCCTGGGCGCCATTGTCGTCGACAACCTGCATGACTCTCTCGACCTTGTCCCAAAAGTCCTTTTCGCCAGTGAGCTTGGCCAGGTACTTGAATTCGAGCTGCAGAGTGGTCGTTTCGGCGGTCGAGGAAGCGCCCCCGTCGGCGTGGGAGACGATGCCCTTGAACTCGGCCAAATTGACGCTCGCGTAAGGAACTCCAGAAGGCGAATCGAAGGCACTCATCAAGCGATCGGCCAGGTCCTTTGCCTTTTCCAAGTACAAATCCTCGCCCGGCGCACCTGGGTCGTCGTCCTTGATCGGGGCCAATTCGGGAAACTCGTTTGACAGGTAGTGCGCGGAGAGGAGACCACCGAGCATCCTGATAGTGGTTTCGAATGTGTTGACATCCTGATTCTGGTCCCACGTCAAGTCGGTGGTGAGCCATTGCCTCGCGTGGGTCAATCGCGATGTCAGGTTCATCAGCATCATGGTATCCAGGGCGTCGATGATGATCCAGCCGAGACCCTTGGGGGCCATCTGTCGTCCGGTCTTCGCGATGGGGTGGTACTCGTCGTAGCCTATTTGCAGATGCGGCTGTTAGTCTTCGAACATAATCGTTGTCAAACAGTCGGGTTGGCAGAGTCAACGTTACCCCATGCGTAGCGCTCGTAAGCATCCCAGCTAAGCTCAAAGGCTTCCACCACTCTCTCTCGCCTCTTGAGCCAGTCCACCTTCTTGCCCGCGGGCTCAGAAGCGCCAAGCCAACCTGTCCATGTTGATGCCGACGCTCGTGCCTTGGAGCCTTCCGAGAAGAAACCGAAGAACCACAGGCCTGAGAAAAGGAGCAGCAGAGTGACCAGGATCGAGCGTTTCCTCCGCCAAAGACGAAACCTCCGGCTTGCGTGATGGGCGTAAGGCTTGTCTTTGTACATTGGCAGTTGGCCCCTGGTGCCGAGCAGGTCTTCGACTCGTCCTTGCACGCCGTGGAAGATACCGGAATTCCCTCCACGGCCGGATCGGCTGTTTACGGCAGAGGCGCCCCAGTAGCGATCTTCAAGTACTCGTTGCGGGTTATTAAAGGAGGGGACATTCTTGGGCACATTGAAAGCCATGTCGTTCAAGGCAGTGGCTCCGACCTCGACCGCCTTTTCTTTTATGTTCTGGGCAGCTCGGGAGGCCGTCACTTTGAAAACGTTGATGGCTGAGTTCCGGTGTAGGTTGAAAGGGTCGCGGACGTTCATATTACGCTCTCAGCATTGTCGCAGTGTGGATACCAGCGGTTTCGAACAAACAAGGACGGGACGAACAGGTCGCCAAAAGTCAATAGCGCCTGTGGAAGGGGGCAAGGTGGTGCGGAGTTCAACGCCTCACGGGAAGCAACAAGAATAACGATTGTTGCAACGGTGGGACGTAGATTGGCAGAGGGAAAAAAAGGACAGAGAGACGGCAACGAAGACCAAGATTGTATTAGAGCACGCGAAATTCGATGATGTGGACTTTCCGCGTTAACTGGAGCGAGCTGCCAAAGACGTCGGTCTTCGTTGCCGCGAAGGCGTCGACCGAGCTAAACCGTGGTGGATCAGTAACCACTTTACCCGCCAACCCGCTGTAATGGCTTGCACCTTGCACGCGTGTCCACTATCGGGCTGCTCGGGGCGGTGGGAGGAAAGACCGGCACGCCTGGTTGGCTTGGCTATGGCATGGCTGGCAATGAAACCACCCAGCCTCCACTGAACGCTGAGAAAAGGCCACCTGTAAGTTGTGGATTGACGCGACCGGCCTCATTAGTCGCAGCTCCTAGGAGGTGGCGGATGGTAATCCCAGAAAGCACCCTGGCACTGGAACGCTAATACCTAATTCGATGGATGGTCTTTTTCGGATCGGCGCAAAAACATGCCGATCCGCCCGACACCGACCTACATACCGGTACCTAGGTAGGACCGTACCTAGGTACCCAACTACAAGAGCACTTGCTTACTCTTCCGTCCAGCTGGCTGGTCACAACCTTAATTACCTCATCTGCTGGTACCCAAGCACCAGTAGTAATCCGGCCGGGTGGGGCTTGGAAGGGCACACAGCCGGCGAGCATCCGATCATCTCCAAGGAGAAAGGAGCGGGCACCGTCCCGGAAACCCAAGGTTGCCGCTTCAAGATCTCCGAATTCGACTCGGTGCCTCCCGGATCGGCCTTTTTAGAACCCACAGTCACAAGGCGCGTATTGCAAAATCGCCAATCATACATCGCAGCGAGATCAATTTGGAATAAGGCGAATGAGTCACACAGGGATTCAACAAGATCCGCATCTCCATACAGCCATAGAAGTTATTGATCGCAGGTGTCGTATTCATACGTTTAGACTATTTCTCGGCAACGAAATCACGTACAGCGCAGTCACTACACACGTCCATTATCAGCATCATGTCATTCAAGGACTTCCCGTTCTTGACCCCGGACGAGTTTTCCGAGGTGTGTCATCACTTCGATAGCCAATATTGCCGTGCTACGCTAGGTTCACTACGGCAACGGTTCAAGTTGAGAGTATGCACCGCACTCGACACATCGTTTGCGTCTGGCGTCGAATACACAACGTACTTGCAAATCATCCGGCCGCTTGAGGCCACGCTGGATTACGGGGATCTCTCCTCAGTTTTGGACAAGTTTTCTTTCGTAGAAGGCAGTTCGGAAGGAGACGCACTTGGGCTGGGCGATGAGGCTATGATTGATGCAGAGGAATCTGACGAGGTAAAGTCCTCGAGCTTGTCTTTTCGTGGCCAGCTGCCTGACTCGGTGACACCACAGGCTGCTCTCTCCAAACCCCTGGCACCGGACTCCGGATACGTCGTCTATGAAGTGCACCTACATCCCACGTATCGCATGCCGTGCTTATGGTTTACATTACACGGGCTGCCAGCCGATGAGCCGCCCTTCAATCTCGACACTGTCTTTCGACGGCTGGTTCCCGATCAGTTCAAGGATGCCCTGCGGAGGACAAGTGGCATCGGAGGCATCTCTGGCGACGTAAGTGCCCATCAGCTATAGACAGGTCAATTACAACTTCTGAAAGAGACCATCTGCAGGTCTGTACTAACACATAAGGCTGCAGCACCACCCCCTCACGGGACTACCCTCGTTTTTCATCCACCCATGCCTTCTTGGGGACGCCATGTCGGGCTTCAACTGTTCCAGGGAACAGTATATGATGCTATGGCTCGGCCTGGTCGGCGGATGCGTGGGGCTCTGGGTGCCTAAAGAGATGGCCATGGAGTCGTCCGGCTAAAGCACGCCGCCCTCGGCCTCCCTTCACCTCGCCACTGAATGAACTCGTTCGCAAGACCCTCAAGAGGATCAGTCGTCGTCGCTGTCCTCCTCCATGGCAACGTCACTGTCCTCGTCTTCTTCCTCGTCCCTCGTCCGCTTCTGACCCCTCGCGTCGGATGCCTGCGCATCACTCATGGGCTGGTCACCGCCGGCCGAGGGCTTTGCCGGCGCGGTGCCCGGAGCAGCGCCAGATGCCGCGCCTGGTGCCGGGGCGTTAAAGATGCTCTTCTGGAGGTCCGTCACTTCGGTGCTGGAAGCTCCAGCTGTCGAGTTCGGCATCTTGTATGTGCCGTCTAGCTTGGCAACGAAGTCGGACTTTGACTTGGCGTACTGGATAGTCTGTTCACTCGGTCGGTCAGCAATCGTCGTTTGTGGTCCAGCGTTCTCGGAGGGACACGTACCAAAGGGCGGCCAAGGAACTCGAAGCCCTCGAGAGAGCGCATGGCTTGGGTCGCTGTTTGTACATCGCGGAAGGTGATGTGCGCTTGCCCTCGCATCTTCATCGTCTTCATGGCGACGATATCGAGAACGGGCCCGTACGTCGAGAAAAGCAGGTAGAGTTCGGTTCGCAGGTCTTGTTTCTGGATCTTGTTGGACGGCAAGTTCGTAACATAGAGTCTATAGACATCAGAAAATGCTCCGGTAACGCGATAATCTCCACTCACGTCTGGTTCGGGGGGATGGTCGTGACTTTGGCTGGTAGTGATGCGTTAGGCGCAAGGCCACGAGGGGGAGCGACAGCCGCCATTGTGCAATTGCGGGCGCGAGAAGCGTGGGTGAGAGTATCAACGATCTTGTGGTATACCGTTGGTATCTGCAAAATTGACTCGGTTTCGTGGTAGTGTCGGGGTGGCGCGCCGCGGTTCTATTGTGTTACAATCGCCGCGGTCTGAATTTTTGTATTGAATATCCTGTCACCGCAGTTTAGTTGGCTGAACCTATGGGGAGCTTCGTCGCTAGCGCCGACGCTCTGCACTGCATCGAGGGCACGCCCCAGGGGTGTGACCTTAATGCCTAAGAAAGCACAAGCTGCCATGCTGCCCTTTTGAAGCACCATTATCCGTACCTAGGTAGGTACACTACGTAACCCCCCCATCTGCCCCACCACGGTGCACCTCCCTCTCAGGTAGGTGGTACACTACGCACTGCGTACTGTACGCAATGCATGCACCTTGCGTACTACTATGTACTGCCTGGGGTTGGTACCTTGCCTTGCTTGGACGAGGTCAGCCAGCATCTCCTAGCACTGCCCTAACAGTCGTAACTTCGTCTTCCGACATAATCACCACTTCCTTCTCTGCTCCCTCCAGTCAACAGACCCGAACCGATCGAAAGAGTGATAGTAGAGAGCTATACTCCTATCACGAAATATTCCCTCAACATGGCGGCTCCCCAGGTTCACCACCTCTTCCACGCTCCCATCGCAGACCACTCGTTCTCTGCCGACCGTCAGACGTTGGCCATCGCCCGCGACTCGACCATTGAGCTCTATGAACAAGCCGGCAGCGCCTTTAAGCTTAAGGACGAGCTCAAGGGCCACGACAAGACCGTCACGAGCGTAGATATTGCTCCCAACAGCGGCCGCATTGTATCCTGCTCTCAAGGTACGTCAATGCGTGCAGCCGACCAGTTGAGAACAGCACCTGACTTGTCATGATAGACCGCAACGCCCTCGTCTGGGAGCCCTCGCCGACCGGATACAAACCTACTCTTGTCCTCCTTCGCATCAGTCGCGCCGCAACCTTTGTGCGATGGTCTCCCTCCGAAACCAAGTTCGCGGTTGGCTCGGGCGACCGTGTCATTGCCGTCTGCTACTTCGAGGAAGAAAACGACTGGTGGGTGTCGAAGCACTTAAAGAAGCCCATCCGAAGCACCATTACATCTGTCGCATGGCACCCCAACTCCGTTCTTCTCGCTGCCGGATCGACCGACGCCCACGCTCGTGTTCTGTCCAGCTTCATCAAGGGCGTCGATGCCCGCCCGGAGCCGACTGCTTGGGGTGAACGCTTGCCGTTCAATACTATCTGCGGAGAATACCTCAATAACTCTGCCGGCTGGGTGCACTCCGTTTCATTCTCACCCAGCGGAAACGCTCTGGCCTTTGCTGCCCACGATAGTAGCATCACCGTCGTGTACCCCAGCGCTCCTGAACAGCCTCCCCGTGCCGTTGTCACCATTACCACCCAGCTCCTTCCCTTCATGAGCCTTCTTTGGAGCTCGGAGGACGAGATCATCGCTGCAGGCTACGACTGTGAGGCTTTCCGGTTCAAGGGTGGTGAGGACGGCTGGAGCCTGGCAGGCACCCTCGAGTCCAAGGGCCGCCCTGGCCTCAGCGATGCCCGTGAGGAGTCTGCCCTGAACATGTTTAGGCAGATGGATCTCAAGGGTAAGGTCAAGGATGACACTCAGCTCAAGACGGTCCACCAGAACACCATCTCCACCCTTCGTCCCTATGAGTCGTCAGGCGGCAACCTTACAAAGTTCTCATGTAAGTCTCCCAGCCTTTGTTATGTTGACCTTCAAAGCTGACTAGACATGAAGCAAGCGGCGTCGACGGAAGAATTGTCATTTGGAGCACTTAGGTTTACCTTTCATAGCGAGCTTTCAATGCAATACCACAATGTCTCACGATCCCACTTCTTGGTCCTGAATCTATGATTCGTCAGAGTCTAATACACTGGCTTCTGGACGATTCTTTCTTCGGAGAGCTTGGGCGAAGGCTTTTGATAATTCATCATTTACTTATAGATCGCCCGCGAAACCTCAGCTTAGATTGCGGTCCTCACATCAACCGCTGCATCGCCGAGCTGTACGTCAACATGGAGCACCCCGATTCCCATCACTCGCCCAGCGGGTTCATCTACGATCTCCCCATTAGACAACAGAGCGCTGATGCCGATGCCAAGGACACATCGACCGAACCACCACCCGCACTGCGACCTTTCCATGTGCAACCACCTTGTCGTTCATCAGTGGCCTGGCCTGTTGCTGGGAGACGAAGCTCCTGTGCCAGCTCATTTTTGCCGATGGTTGTGCGCGTTCCCGTTTCAGAACCTTCGGCCATCGAGCAAGAGCTCGCCACCACGGATGACAGGGAGACTAGCCCTATGGACACCGAGGTTGCCCCAGAAACTCGGCAATCGGAACGTTCAATGTCGATGATAGCTGTTTCAGTAAGTCCTTTCACCTGGTGTACGATGTTTCGGCATCTGCAGTCACCCATCACGACCGCAGCTGCACAATGGTAACTCGAAAATCCAGAACGAAGATGTGGAAGACACCTGTTCGCCGCAAGGTAGGCAGACTCTATCATACGAGGCAAAGGCCAACCGTGTCCATGAACTCTGCCTCCAAGCAACACGGAGATATCTCGAAGAACGACGGACGAATCTACGGATGCGAGTGGCGCCAACTACGATGTACCATTTCAGTATGCGTCGCCAATCACCGAGAGCTTCGTTTCGTTTTGCTCCGTATACCAACTCCCGCCAACGTTTCGGAAATTTGCCCTCCACGGCCTCGGAGATGATAGCCGGGGTTGCAGAGGCCTCAACCGAGTCACTGGTGGCCAACATCGGTAGGATCTGCGACGGGATTTGGGCGCAGGCCCAGAGGGACAGACTTTACGTCCCAGGCACAGAGAAGGCTGCAGTGGTGAACATGAGACACTTGCTGGACTGGGCCGACACAGTTGCCAGCACTCCACGAAGTTGGGCACACATTCGGCTAGTCTCTACGCATGGGAAGAGCCTGTGTGCATGGTTGGGCGACTTTGATGGAAGAGCCGAGATCGACCGGCTGGGTTTGTAGGTTCATGTGGGTGGGTATTTGGATATCGGTGATAATCCAAAGGTTGTTTGGGTGAGCTCTGCTTCTGTCGAGCGTGGTCAGATCACTTACCATGTTAGCTTGAGGGGTGGTCATGGCATGGGATGTTGGCTGGATGCTTAGGCAAGTTAGTTGCCTGCAAACCACCATGATTAGCCTGCCCCAAGGGCCACACCCGTAGCCTTGAATGGAAAACTTTGGCAAGTTCTGGTGCAAGATCAGAAGCGAAGAGGATATTTGATGGGATTGCTTGCTCGACTTTTCTTTTGCATTGTGCTAGTCTCCTCTTAAGATGTTGTGGTGTGCGCAGGCCCAATGCATCTACCAACACATTGTCACCTGTTACATGAGTAGAGGCAATATAGGTCGAACTAGAATCGTCTCAACCAGTTGACTTGAGAGTCAGTCTCCTTTTCTTTAAACCAACTACTTTCCAAGTGTCGCTCCGTAGGTCTTATACTAAGGCCAAATCTACAGAGTACCAGTAGGCATGGCATGGCAGATGCGGTTACCATACCTTAGGTAGGGAGACAGTGACATCTGCTAGCAAAGAAGATGCACACGCCCCTGTAACCTCGCTCAGGTCCTCTAACCCAAACGTCTACCCGCTGATCTAACCCACCCGAACCACCCCACCAACGACACTGTGACATCCACCCCAGCCCGGCACTAGTTGCGTATGAAGTTCTGGCCTCCAACTCAACTCTGTGACGCTTGCCGGGGCTTTGAACATCCATCTCCTTCCAACATCAACACTGCAACCACGTAGTCCTGTTGCTTCTCTTGAGCAGAGAACGTCGCCGTCATTGTCCGTGAAGATCCCACTGGTGCTTTTCTGGTAGGTTGTCTTTTGTTGATTTCCAGTTGTTACTTGTTGGACTCCCTTCTTAGTCCTCTCTCCACAGTTGGCCTGGTATGGCTCAGATTACTCACCGCATATAGACGACCCGCCACCTTTTGCCTGCAAAGACCCCGCCAGAGCTCTCTGCGCAAGACACATTGCTTGCCCGGTGCCGATTACCAACAACCTTCACCGTACTTGCTGCCCCTACACACCCGCGCCTTATTTTCCCCCTCTTAACCGACCACCTATCGAAGCTTTGTCACAGAGGTGTGCGGATAGCCATGATCGAGGCGTCATAATGGAACCTACCATGTCAACTCAAGAGCGCCAGCTCTGCGAGTTTCTCAGAGAACTTCCTGCAAGATGGAACTACGAGTACGACGACCAAGCACACCATGACCTGCTCGAAAGCCTCTTCTGGTCGTTGGCAGGAGGCGAGCGCTACATGCCCCTCTTCTTCCCCTCCGGCCGACCTTCCCACAACCACAAGCTCCACGATGCCCAGGGCGCCGTCGAGGGCGCCGAGTACACCGAAGCCGCCCGAGGCAAGCGATGCGGTCACATATTCAAGCCCGGAGAAGCCTCCTACTCCTGCCGAACCTGCAGTACTGACGACACGTGCGTTCTGTGCATGCGATGCTTTGACTCGACCGACCACGCCGGCCACATGGTCCGCATCAGCATCTCGGTCGGCAATAGTGGTTGCTGTGACTGTGGCGATGACGAGGCCTGGCGTCTCCCCATGTTCTGTACGATCCACTCCGAGACGGATCCGGAAAAGGGCGAGGGCAAGGGGAAGGAACCGGCTGGTCTCCCTGAAGACCTGGTACAGAACATGCAGATGACGATTGGCCGCGTCTTCGACTATATCTGCGATGTTATATCGTGCTCACCAGAACAGTTGCGACAGGGCAAGACCGCAGACTCGATCCAAGCCGACGAAGAGCTCTCGCGACTGTCTCCAGACATCTACGGAGAGGGCCCCTCTGGACATCCCGAATATGCGCTGGTTCTCTGGAACGATGAGAAGCACACGATGGAGGATGTACAGAACCAGATCGCGCGGGCTTGCAGAACAACAGAGGCTCAGGCATTGCAGCGCGCTACAGAAACAGACCTTATCGGCCGCAGCATCCTAAAGCGTCTCGACGATCTAGACGCCCTGCTTGAGATGGCCACCAAACTGGAGCATATCAAGGTCACTGTTACCATCAGGTCATCGCGCGACACGTTCCGCGAACAAATGTGCGGGGCCATGATTGAGTGGCTCAGCGACATTGCTGGATGTAGCGTCGGGTCAGACCATACCATCTTGCGAAACACTGTTTGCCAGGAAATGATGAAGCCATGGCGGAAGGGCAGCCCCGGAAGCCACGCCATCGTGGGCAAGGACGGCATCTACGACGAAGAGAAATTTCTGAGAAACCTCGAGCACTCTCAGTCTTTCACCCAACATGTCCTGCTGCAGATGCAGCGCATTGCGACTCAACAGCAAGCCCGGGCGGCAGACAGCGACGATGAGGATATCGACATGGGCAGGGGAAATGGCACTCCTGATAGTGATGCGGGAGACGACGATGATGACGACGAGATTGATGATGACGATATTATGATGGTTGACGTTCGAGCCGACGGGCCCGGAGACATCGGCCTCGAGTGGCGTGGCAACGATCAAGCTTTGGAAGAAGATGAAGCAACGATGGCCGGTTACCCGCCGCCTCCGCCCCCACCTGCAGCTGCGCGGCGGGCCACCAGGGATCGCGACCTGACACCCTCCGATTCTGACACGGCCGAACCGCTGATTGCACCTGCGATCTATGCCAAGGCTAACCTGGAAATTCCAAAAACGCCTGGACAGGGTGAGAAGGCGCCATCACCGAAGCCTGGCAGGTACTGGCTTGAGACTCCTCCAGGTTACATGAACCGAGAGAACGTCCCCCCGCGGAGGATGTCTTCCAACGGGTCCGGCTCGATTGGCTCATTCTCTTCGACCTTCGCATGTGGAAAAAGGTTCGCAACGACCTCCGCTCTCTCTACATATCGACTGTTGTTTCGATACCCGAATTCAAGCGCATCCTAGGTCTTCGTTTTGCCGGATTGTACACGACGCTGGCTCAACTGTACTTGATTGGGGACCGAGAGCCTGACCATTCCATCATCAACTTATCGCTACAGATGCTCACGACGCCATCCATCACCGCAGAGATCGTTGAACGGGGTAACTTCATGACGAGCTTGCTCGCCATCTTCTATACGTTCCTCACAACGAGACAAGTGGGCTACCCATGGGATGTCTCGTCAAATGCAGTTCTTGCCTTTGATTCCGGCTCGGTGACGAACCGCCGCATGTACCACTTTTATCTGGATTTGAAGTACCTCTTCGGCTCGCCACAGGTTCAGGAGAAGCTTCGGACTGAGGAACGATACCTTTTACAGTTCCTCGACCTGGTTAAGCTGCACCAAGGTATCGGACCGAATGTCCGCGCTGTCGGGGAACACGTTGAATATGAAACAGACAGCTGGATAACTGCCTCGCTGGTGACGCGCGAAATCAACAGGCTTGCTCGGCAACTTGCCGACGCTTATAGGAACGTGCCGGATAACGAGGCTCACTTCGTCGCTCAAGCGATCAGATTGACAGCCAAGGCTGTCATTCTTCATTCTGTTGGTGCCGAACGTCATCGCTTCAAGCAGGCCGAGATCAAAGAAGAGATCAAGTTCAAGACACTGGGTGATTTCGAGTTCGACAACGAATCGGCACGGTACGACGTCGTCAAGTTTACGGTCGAAGAGGACCCTATTAGCTTCCACCATGCATTGCACTACACCCTTTCATGGCTGATTGAGTGCGGAAAGTCTCTCCCTGCTTCAAGCATGAAAGCCCTCTTGAGCTTTACTACGCAAGACTTGAAGCTGCCCCCGCGCTCCATGGGTCGCAAGGTTATGCCACGACGGGATAACTCCCCAGAGGATAACCTCATGGCTGCGTTTGACTATCCCTTGAGGGTCTGCGCTTGGCTGGCGCAAATCAAGGCGAACATGTGGGTGCGCAACGGCATCAGTCTGCGGCACCAGGCGGCGACGTATCGCGGAGTCAGCCAAAGAGATGTGTCCCATCACCGCGACATTTTTCTCCTCCAAACCGCAATGGTCATCGCTGATCCCAGCCGCGTCCTCGCGTCCATCATTGATCGGTTCGGCATGGAGAAGTGGGTTAAGGGAATATTCGAGCAGAAGTCTACCGCACAAGACGATGCTCAGCATCTGGATGTCGTTGAGGACATGATTCACCTCCTGATCGTGCTTCTCAGCGACCGCACCTCGCTGATTGCCTCCGAGGATGAACCCAACGCCAACGTTCTCGCCATCCGTCGCGACCTCACCCACATCCTATGCTTCAAGCCGCTCTCCTTCAACGAAATCAGCAACAAGTTGCCTGAGAAGTGGCAGGAGCAGGAAGACTTCCATCGTGTACTTGACGAGATGGCATCGTTCAAACCCCCCGAGGGCGTCTCGGACGTTGGCACATTTGAACTGCGGCCCGAATTCGTTGAGCATATCGACCCTTACATCGCCCACTATAACAAGAACCAGCGAGAGGAGTCTGAGCTGGCATATCGGAAGAAGATGGCCATCAAGACTGGCAAGCCATTGGAAGAGATCGTATATGAGCCCAAGCTTCGGCCGATCCCTTCGGGCCTCTTCAAAGATTTGGCCGCGTTCACCAACACCGGCATGTTCGGCCAGATCATCTACTACTCACTGTTGTATCCACTCGTTGCGGCTAGGCTCACGCCAAGCGTGCCTACGACTCGGATCGAAACCTTCCTCCAGGTCGTCCTCCACCTCATCCTTATCGCGATCTCTGAGGACAAGGCGGACGAGAGTGACATGACGGAGGAGTCGCTCAATTCGTTCGTGCTTATCGCTCTAACGCGAACCGCTCGAAGCAACTTTATGCAAGAAGCGCCAAATGCGAAGACCATCGTTGCGTTGCTCGACATGATGTCCACCAAAGAGGAGTTCAAGGCATGCCACCCCAAGATTGGCCTTATACTCAAGAGAATGCGGCAAAAGCGTCCGCGCAACTTTGAGAATGCCTACGCGCGGCTTGGTGTCTCCGTCGACCGCATTGATACTGCCTCTCCCGCGAACAACTCCGCAGAGGAGGAACGAGAACGCAAGAAGAAGGCGGCGCTGAGCCGGCAGGCAAAGGTCATGGCCCAATTCCAGCAGCAGCAGAAGAGTTTCTTGGAAAACCAGGGCAACATTGACTGGGGCTCCGATCTCGAGGACGAGGAGGAGGCGGAGCAGACCGGGGATCGAAAGAACAATTGGAAATATCCGACAGGCACCTGCATTCTGTGCCAGGAGGATACGGACGATCGTCGCCTCTACGGGACATTTGCTCTCTTCAACGAGAGCCACATCCTCCGACAGACGGATCTGCAGGACCCTGACTTCGTGCGGGAAGCCTTCCACACGCCCTCGAGCCTGGATCGATCTGCAGAGGACATTCGTCCCTTTGGGGTCGCCCACGAGAACCGGCAAGAAGTCACAAAGGTCAACGCCAAGGGCGAGAAGTTCGTTTCTGAGCGTCAGACGATAGGCAAGGGCTTCCCATCGAACCTTTCCCGCCCCGGGCCTGTCTCGACCGGCTGTGGCCATATGATGCACTACAGCTGCTTCGAGATGTACTTCGACGCAACAAACCGGCGACACCATCATCAAATCGCGAGGCATCACCCGGAAAATCTTCGAAGACAGGAGTTCGTCTGCCCTCTGTGCAAGGCTCTTGGTAACGCATTCTTGCCCATCATTTGGAAGGGCCAGGAGGAATGTTTCCCCGGCCCGCTTCAGTCCCAGCGCCTTTTCGCAGATTTCCTCGATACTCAGATGAGATCGGGCTACTACATCCTTGGTGCAAACCGTCCACCTGATGAGGTTCAGTCATCGTTTGCCAGCTACACGGCAGGGCAAGTCACCGGCGCATTAGCAGAGAAGGCGCCTCAACTGTTGGAGGAAGCCTGGACAGCCGACGAGTCTGGTTCTGACTCTGTGGTCACCAACACACCTCTGACGTCTTTGTTCCCCATGGCCAGCACGCCAGTCACCAACCGCAGGTCTGTACAGAGTGATGGTTCCACCCTCATGGGGGAGCTGGCCAGGGTATACCGTCGTCTTCGCGATACTGTGCGGTCTAATGGCTTTAAGACACGCCATGAAAAACGGAGCATTGAGCTGCGAGAGAGAAATGAGCTTTGCCACAGTGACGTTCTGTCAAAGCTGGTCGGTTATTCGGTCTCGGCTGTAGAGATCCAGCAGCGCGGCACTGAGGCCCAGTACGGCATGACGCTGTTGGAAAAGATTCCTGAACAAAGCTTGACACATCTGCGCATTCTGGCAGAGACTGCGACTGCGTACAGGGCTGTTGGCGGTCTCAAGGCTGGCGGTGATAACTGGATCGAGGAAGAGTTCCGGCTGGATAGCGAGCGCCAACATGTCCAGCTCTTTGTTTCACAATACTTCGGACAAGAGACAGAGCATGCCAGACGACCTGTCGACGCCTACTCGCCATTGCTCAGCGAGGATGCCTTCATCTTCCTCACTGAGTGCGTCTTTGGCCTTGTTCCCGCGCAGAATTTCGACGTCACGCACATTCTGAGACTGTGTTATCTTGCAGAGATTGTCAAGGTCGTTTACCACATGGGGCGCAACATCCCGGTGTCCACATGGATCAGCCATCTCCTCAACAGAGAAACTCAGGACCCTGCATTGAAGAACTTTGCCGAGTTCTGCCTTGCCATCACCAAGGTTGGCATGGAAATCAACGTGTCCCACCGCGAAATGCCGGCAGATCTAGGGGACAACCGGGGATTCGGACAACCGGAGCTGGATAACCTAGAGGGCTACTACACTTTCGTGAAGAAGTACGCCTTGACGTTCCTCAGGAAGAGCGTCGTTCTTCTCTATGTTAAATACGGCATAGACTTTAACAGTTACGTCTCCCCTCAGCCGGACGCGGACGAACTAGACCGCCTTACTGAAGCCCTCCGAATTCCAACATTTGACGAGATGTGTGCCTCGATCACTGACCTTGGGCCAACTTATGGCTGGCCGGCCTCGACCACGAGCCTGGTCAGTGGCTGGGTCCGACACCAGATCATGTGGCCTGGTGACGACACGGACGAGCTCCCTCGTTCTGCGCTCCTCAGTCACCCGGGCATCTTCGAGCTGGTGGGGCTGCCGAAGAACTACGACGCACTCATCGAGGAAGCCACCCGACGCAGGTGCCCAACGACAGGCAAGGATGTCTCGGATCCCATGATTTGCCTGCTCTGTGGAGATGTCTTCTGTGGCCAGGCTGTATGCTGTCTCAAGGAGGAGACATCACCTGGCGATCGCGAGCCCCAGAGGATCGGCGGCTCGCAGCAACATATGCGAAAGTAAGTTGAAACAAATACCTACAATCAAAACCCCCTTTTGAAAACACATGCATGATGTTGACATTTTCGCGTTTAGGTGCCAGGGCAACATTGGCTTGTTCCTCAACATCCGCAAGTGCTGCATCTTTTACCTTTTCCGGCTTTCGGGCTCCTTCAGCAGCGCGCCCTACATTGACAAGTACGGCGAGACGGACCTGGGTCTGCGCCACGGGCGCCAGCTGTTCCTGAACCAGAAACGCTACGACTCCATGCTGAGGAACACGTTCCTCAGCCACGGCATCCCGAGCTTTATCAGCCGTAAGCTGGAGGCGGAGATCAACAACGGCGGCTGGGAGACGATTTGAACTTGGCTGGCGGAGGACTGACCGGGTTGGGTCGACGACGAAAGGGAGGGTGTGGGTAGGCTTCCTCCCGACGTGAGCTGCCCGGCTGCTATATGAAGCGGAGTAGATATTGCATCTGCTTGCCATTGCTTGTTCTTCTTCTTCTTCTTCTTCTTCTTCTTTTAATTGTCAGAACACACTCAATCATTGGAGAGCGGGGGCAGAAGAAAGGAGTTTTCAGCAGGTCGGCAAGAATGTTTTGAGTACCTAGACAAGGAAGAAGAAGCTTTTATAAAGGTAGAATCATATTCCGCATAGACATTTCTGTAGTCTTATCTGATATGCTCAATAAGGCTCCTGTGTGTGTTTTCTTTTCTTCTTCATCCACTCTTCTTTCTTTCTGCGGTCCAAAAATGTCACCGCCATTCCTTATGTGCGTGCGTAGTTTGGTATCAAATCCCCGGAATGTTAGTTCCCCTCTCCGCTCTCTTACCCCCCAGTAGCTTTGGTCTGTATCGGTTCCGTTGCCACGTCGAGCCCCCCCCCCCTTGCGCGGTATGCTACCTATGTTCCGGCCATGTCAACGTCCTCTTCCTGTTTTATCGGCAGCTCGGCGTTGTCGACATTTTCCTTGTCTTTTTCCTCTTCCTCTTCCTCCGCCGCATTGGTCGCGTGACCGTTCGTCGCTGGCGCCGTGGTCTCCGCCGCTGTCTCTGCCGCGGTGGCCGCGCCGACGACGTCGCCGTCGCCACCGTCCTCGGCCCCGTCCGATACTCTCTTGTATCGCCGAATCGTCCCATCTTGCCCCGCGCTGACCATGACGTCCCCGTGGACGTCGACCCAGAAGCACACGCTGCCGCCCCGCTTGCCGCTGTTGGCGCGACCCTTCTTGGAGTGGGCGGGGATCCGCTGGACGACTTCCTTTGTGACGACGTCCCACAGAACAATCTCGCCGTCCTCGCTGGCTGAGGCGACAAAGGCGCCCTCGCCCGGGACGATACCGAAGCAGCCGCCGATGGCGAAGCGGCTGTTGACGTGACCCTGGTACGTCTTCTTCACGGAGCCGGCGACGTAGTCCCACAGGCGGATGCTGTTGTCGAGGTTGAAGGCGAGGACGAAGCGGCCGTTGGGGGCGAAGCAGACGGACGTCACGGCCGGGTTATCTTCGTGGACGAGGGTGCGGAGACACTGGCCCGTATAGGTGTCCCAGATGCGGCTATTACGAGGAAATGGGTGTGCGGGTCAGCGAATCGTCGGGAGGAAACAGAGGAGGGAAGGGGAGGGGCATGCGGGAAAAGAAAAGAAAGAAAAAAAAACTCACATCAGACCATCGGTCGAGCAGCTCACGACCAAGGTGCCGTCGCCGCAAAAGTCGATGCCGCCGACCGGGTCGCTGTGCGCCGGCAGGCTGCGCATCAACCTCCCGGCTCTCACATCCCACAGGAAGACGGCCTCATCGTAGGACCCGGACGCGAGGATGTTCCCCTTGGGCGAGAAGGCGAGACACATGACATAGTTGTGGTGACCCCGCAGCGGCGGCATCGGGCGAGCCGACGGCGGCGCGGCTCCGTCCTTGGCCAGGGCACTGACCCCCTTGGCCGTCGACTTGGGCCGCCCCGTGACGCGGTCCCAGAGGCGGATCGCCTTGTCGTCGGACCCGGACGCCAGCGTGCCGCTGTCGGGGCTCCAGGCTACGCAGCTCACGCCTGCCATGTGGCCCACCAGGGTATCCATGTGTTCGCCCGTCGCGGCGTCCCACAGCTTGATTGTCCCGTCGGCCGAAGCGCTCGCGATCCATCTCCCGTCAGGGGATATGCGCACCTGCGACACGGGCTTCCCCGCGTGCCCGCTCATGACCTGCTGCTCCTCGAATCGCGGCCGCACGGGGCCCTTCTTCGTCGGGGCGGGGGTGACAGGCGTCGTCGCTGTAGCGCCCGTGTCCACGCCGTTGCCATCACCGTTCGTGGACGAGAGCCGCAGCCGGCGGTTGACGGCGCCGGAGAGACTGCGCGGGGAGCTGCCTCCTGATGTGGAGGCCGGCGATTGCGATCGCGTGCGGGATTCGCTGCGGGAGCGGGAGGGCGAGGCGGTGGGAGACCTGGGCGTTCGGGTGCGCGAGCGGGAGGGAGATCGGGATCTTGACTGTGAGCGGGTGCGGGAGTGGGAGGAACGAGAGTAATACGCTTCGTTGAGCTCGTCGTCGCTGGGGCTCCTGCTAGGCGTCACGCTAGGACGGCTGCGGTGGGTGGCCAGGCGGCGGGGTTTGGTTGTGCGTTTCGCAGTCACCGTCTTCGCCCCGCTAGCTGCGGAGGCGGCCGTCTTGCCGATCGAGATCACGGCTGGGGAGTTGAGCTCGTCGGGAGAGCTGGATCGTGGGGTTGCGGTCGTGCTGTGTTCGAGAACCTTGCGACGTTTGGGGGGCGGCTCGGGGAGGGGCGTCGCGGCTGCTGAGGAATCGGGGCCTGACATTTTGGGCGTTTCACTCGGAAGGAGAACTAGAATGAGGCGTCGTTGTAGTAAGCTGTTCTTAAGAGGCTCGTCGGATACCAAGGACGTTGCAAGTTGAAGATCGGCGTGCGAACCACCGGACGAGGCTGAACAGAAAAGGACAAAAAAAAAGGGAGAAAATGAAAGGATGGGAAAGCGAAAGTCGACTTCGGGACCCCCATATACAGGGGGGGTGGTGCTTCTTGACGTCTGGTGCTTTGCCTTTCAGCCTCGTTCCGCTGCACGGATTGCCCTATGGTCCCTGTCCTACCAGCTGGGGGAGGGGGCAGACGCTAAGATAGGAGGATAAACGCGTTTGGGCGGGCCTATAGCAGAGCTGCCGATTGGTCAATGGCGAAGGCTGTGGGTCTAAGTCCATTCAGCTGTAAAATTAAACTGGGCTCTCTGCAAACGCACCCCGGCTTGCCGGCAGTAGATGGAAAAGCAAACGGAGGACGTAACGTCACCGAGTCCAAGCCGCGCCCCGAGGGTTATGTGCGCTTTCTCATCTCATCTCACGAATATGTGCCCGCGCTCCGACCTCACCGGCCCTACAATGCAGCCTGATATGCTTGCTCTTGATGGAAAGACCATTCGATAGGCTAGCACTCGGATACTTGGAGTCTACATCTGCGCCCCTAGCTTTTGCCCGGAAGCTTCGGCGCATTCTTGAAGAAAAAGAACTTGTCGTCCCACCCATCCATCTTACACGAACGCTCAGTCTCAACTTTGTATAAGGCCAGCCAAACCCTGAATATCATTGGCAAACACCACCAACACCTTTTTGTACACTGTCTGTTGTCTTCCTCTTGTCAACACTCTTGTCCTCGCGTCATTGTTTCCCTTCCAATACCCGGTGTTTCGTAATCCCCGACCTGATAATCCCCCCTCCCCCCATCTTTCACCCATCACCGGAGAAAAACATGGAGGATCCCCCCCTCCCAGCCGATCTCCGCCTTCTGACCCTCAACTGCTGGGGTCTCAAGTACATCTCCAAGCTCCGCCCCGAGCGCCTTGCGGAGATCGGCCGCCGCATCGCCTCCAGCCCGGACCCACCCCACGTCGTCGCCCTCCAGGAGTGCTGGGTGACGGCCGACTACGAGGCCATCCGCGCCGAGACCCGCCGCGTGCTCCCGTATGGCAAGTTCTACTACTCGGGCCCTTTTGGCGGCGGCCTCGCCATCCTCTCCCGCTGGCCCCTCGAGGAGAGCTCCATGTTCCGGTATCCCCTCAACGGGCGGCCCACGGCCTTCTGGCGCGGCGACTGGTACGTCGGCAAGGGCATCGCGTGCGCGCGCATTCGCGCCCGCCTCGCCGACCCGTCCTCCCCCCGCCCGGGGGCGGCCACTGAGTACACCCTCAGCGTCTTCAACACCCACACCCACGCTCCCTACACCGAGAACCGGCCTGGCGACACCTACCTCGCCCACCGCCTCGCCCAGTCCTGGGAGATGGCCAAGCTCCTCCGCGGAGCCGCCGAGCGCGGCCACCTCGCCCTCGCCATGGGCGACTTCAACATGCGGCCTTTGAGCCTCCCGCACCGCATCGTCACCGCCCACGCCCCCGTCCGCGACGCCTGGCGCGCGCTGCACCCGGACTCGTCCCTCGGTGCCGTCGACGACCCTTTGGAGATGGCCCGCGGCCGACCCGTCCCGACGGCGGACTTCAACCTCGAGGAAAACGGCGCCACGTCGGACCACGCGTACAACACCTGGCGCTGGCCCAAGGAGCAGCAGAAGAGTCTGGGGAAAGGGAGGGAGAAGGTTGCCGTGTCGCCGGATGCGCCGGACAGGAAGGGGAAGCGTCTGGATTACATCTTCTTCAGCAGCACCCCATCCCGAGACGGCGAGGGCGGGGAATGGGTCGTCCGCAGTGCGCGGGTGGGCATGGTCGATCCGCACCCTACGCTGGGCTGCTCCCTGAGTGATCATTATTCCGTGGAGGCTACACTGTCGTATCGTCACCCCCGTCGTGCGTCCGGCGATGACACCGCGCCCGAGAAGACGCCCCACCTCCGAGATACATCAGGCAGCTCTCGGCGGGAGTCCCTCTTATCCGTCAACTCGGCCGAAAGCACTTTACTCCCCGTCTCAGTCTACGACGACATTCTCTCCGAGATACGACGCTATGCCCGTCGGGAAGAGAGTCAGCGGAGCTGGCGCGCAATTCACTTCTTCGCCTGGCTCGCCGTGTCAATAGCCTGCCTCATCGCCGTCTGGTTCAGCCCACACAACGCCGTTGCCTTCATCCTCATGCTTCTGAGCAGTCTTGGTTTGGTCGCCGGAGTCATGGACGGCCTCATGTCACTCCTCTTCTTCAACTCGGAGCTCAGGGCCTTGAAGGAGTTTGAGTGGGAAGTCACAAATGCCAGAGAAATAGCGAGCCGTGCTTCCGAGGAGGTGGGGAGGGCGAAATCCTCTTGAGGCCAACCCGGAATATACGGCTTGATGCAACGAAAGGTTTCTGTGAAGACGACTGGTTAGTCGTGGAGCGTGATCTTGACTCCTTTGATGATCCCCCATATACGTCAATCGAAAGCAGTCAACAGGAGCAATAATTTTTATCTCTATTCAACACCCCCGTTCCCATCTCTCAATTACGCAACGCACCATATTCGAGCGCGAGCCAGGCTCCCCATCAGATAGCTACCGCTACGACTGCATCTCCACTATGTACTACCCCACCACACCTGGCGGCGCCATCCCATAACGGCAGCGTCTTAGGAAATTGTAGGAAGGTGTTCATGGACGCCCTGACGGCGTAGCGGGCTTTTGCACCGCCATGAATATCCCAAAAACGATGTCTGCTTTCTCATTTGAAGGACCTCGTCCTTTACCCAGGGATCCCTGAGTAACTTGTCTCTTGGGCGTTTGCGTTCCTTTTGACCGGCTCGTCTGGCGTAACATTTCAGATATTCCTTCTGAATGTCTTCCAGCTCCGAGTGGTTTTCAATGTCACGGTCAAACCGTTTGAGCCTCGTCGAATCATAGGGCCTGGCGGTAAAATCATTGATCAGAGCCTGTACATCGTATTCAAACCCGACTTGCAGAAATTCGAAGTCAAAGTCTGCGGGATCTTCTAGTCCCTCTCCTATATCCGAATCTACCGACTCGGACCAGTCACTGATCGACTCGTCTTCTTTAAAGTAGTGGGCGTCGGCAAAGCTTTTGATATTTGGGATCCACTCCGGCCGGACGAGACGTATCTTCTCCCATGGAACACCCCGAAACCATGGGTGTGCCTTGATCTCGTTTGCATCATCGGGGAAAACGTAGTTCCGTGGGGTTTCCGTGTGACCCAGAAGCTGTTGTCGGGCTCTTCTTTCGTCCTGATCACGGTACTTTGGCGATGAGAGACGATCTCTCTTGTCTTGAAGCAAGTTTCTGATCAAATGCCGGCACATCTTTGAGACTTGGACTCCATCAACGGGGAATACGAGGGTCGTTTGGTAATTCTGTGCTTAGCATTAGCATATGTCTATTGTTTCTTCAGGTAAACTCACAAGAATGTTTTGCTTGGTGTAGTGTCTGCCCTTGTCCGAGAGGAATGGCGTATACCCGTACAGACATTCGTACAAGATGATCCCGACACTCCACTAGTCGCATCTGCCGTCATACTTATCGCCCATCACTACCTCAGGAGCCATGTACTGGCTTGTTCCAACAACGGAGCGAGCATGCGACCGACTTGTTGCAGCGGTTCTCCATTCAAGCAGTGTGTTGATCATCGGAGGGTCGTTCTTAGGCAAACCTGAAACTGTCGGACTGTAAAGTGCGTTGGACTGAACGATGTCAAATGGAGGGGCATGCTTTGAGGATCCCGCTGGAGATGATGGCCGTTGCGGGTAGCCTCCACCGCGGGCCGCTTTGCGGTCTTCGCGATCCCCGTCAAGCCTGACACCCATAAGAGAAAGCAGCCATTGCCTATGCCATTTGTAATAGGAAGTGTCGTGAGACCAGTGGTCATCGAAGGCCAGCCCGAAATCCGATATCTTCAAGTGACCGTCAGCGCCGATGAGGAAGTTGTCTGGCTTGACGTCACGGTGTATGCAACCAAGCTTGTGTGCCTCCTCGACGCACAAAATCATCTCTGCGATATAAAAGCGAGTCCTTGACTCGGTTAGAATGTTCTCGCGGATGAGCAAGCCAAGAAAGTCACCCCCGGGCATGTAGTCCATCAGAAGGTAGAGGTTGGTAGGGTCTTGGAAACTGGCTATCAGAGATACAATCCTAACGGAGGATGTTAGCAAGGTGAATTTATTAAATACTAAGGCGTCAAAGGGGCTCTGTATGTACCATTGCGAGTTCTCGGAGGCAGCCAGGAAGTCCCGTTCTGCTCGCAAGTGCCCTTCTTGGCAGCTCCGAATCATGTCCGATTTTCGGATGACCTTCATGGCGTAAACGTGCCGACGTGAACGGTCCCAAACGAGCTTTACAACACCGAAGCTCCCTTTTCCGAGTATTTGGAGCGTCTCCAGGTTTTCCAGGTCTGAGCCTCGAGCTGTTCCAAGGTCAGAAGTTGTAGACTACGCAACTCTGCAGCTATAGGTTTTGTCGACTCTTTGCTTGCGAAGGTGATCAGTCTCTGTTTTGAGGTACCATTTCCAATACTCTTCCTTCTCCCATTGATCCAGGTGGTGAATGTCGTGCCGGAACCGGGCCATGCGCAGTTCGCGCGGTGTCAAACCATCCCTGAGTACCTCCTTGTAATACGTTTCGAGGTAAATTTTTGCTGCGGCGGCCTTTTCCACCGTGAGGACCCTCTGTTTGTCAGATATGTGGCCCCAAATAAGCTGCTCCTCGAGTTTCTTCTTGTCAGGAAGACGCTGAGGGCTTATGTCTTGTGAGATCACAGGGGAGGGCGGACCGAGAGGGTGGGTTATGACCGGCTGGATGACCGGATGCCGCAAGCCTCGAGGATGTACCAGTTTGGAAGCTGGCTTTGCCATACCTCTAAACCTGTGGATAATCTTTTGGGTCGTGGTGCTGCCTCTATTGCTCCCCAAGGACTCTGGTTCTGCCGTCGAATTAGCTCGTGCCGGGTGGTATCCGCCAAGCACACCCGTACCTTGTTGATAATGCTTCCTGTTCTTCACTAGTACATTCGGTTTCGGAGCAGGAGAGCGAACATGAGGGCTCCAAAGACTGTGTAGAGCCTGACCATCGAATCCGGGGCTAAGGTCGGTTGAGAGTGTGTGGGTGGCGGTGATGCTTGGGGCGACAGGAATTGGATTTGAACGTGAGATGTTGCCGCCGCGGGTAGGCTGATGCATGATGATGATGAAAACCTCGCGACGGCAGGGGGATAAGTAATATTGCTGATAACTCGATCTGCAAACAACGTGTAGTCCAAAAGAGGGACGGACTAGTCGTCCAACTATGATGGTGTTCAGTCTGCTGGGATGTTTTGTGAAGGATGGGTACGTCGCCCCGGAACGCGAGAGGAGGAACATTGTGGTCGCCCAAGAGCCAGCGACCTGGGGAGTCAGTAGTCGGAAGGAAGTGCTTGTGACCGGCAACACGATGGACTGGTCGGCAAGTGATACCTTTTCAGACAGGGGCAGGGGGTGTGGGATAAGACCTACCGCGTGTGTAGGACCCACCGGCAGGACATTCAGGCGCGAACGAACCTACGGACATACAACAGGAGCAATTGTCATAAAAGGGGTAAGGTAAGAAGCAAGGAGACGATGTTTTCGTTAAAGAAAACCGGAGCTACGTACAATCCGACCGGAAGAAACCATCCATGTCCGGTGAGAAAAATTCCTACATCAACAGAAAGACTCTTTTTATGGTACGCCAACCAATGCAGTGTAAGTCCTTGCCTCGTCATCCCATCAAACAGACTCTGCTTCTCGCATCCGGTGGTTGCGGATCTTCGCAGATAGCCACAGGTCGGAGACTATCCATTGCGGCACGGCGCAAAGCGCGATATGGCGATTCCTCTTTCGCCATCACGCATCATTACAAGGGAAAGTCGACGTATGGGACGTCGGGACTGGGCCAGTCCAAGCCATGTCTTTCATGGCAGACTCGCTGGGCGAGTGTGTAGAATACAGTGGGGAGCATCTTGAGTCGGCGTCTCGTCGCCAAAGGCGGTGGTGCGGTTCAGCAAATCGCCGTTTACTTGATCTCGAGCAGCTTGACGTCAAAGGTCAAGGTGCTGTTGGCGGGGATGCCGGGCAGGCTCTTGGAGCCGTAGGCAAGGTGAGCGGGGATGGTGAGACGACGCTCGCCACCAATGGTCATGCCAAGGACACCGATGTCCCAGCCCTTGATGACCTGGCCCTTGCCGGCCTTGAACGAGAAAGGCTTGCCCTTCTTGTTGGCTAGGGCTGAATGTTAGCAGGAAGAACGGATGAAAGCCCAGGTGCGGATCATGATAGCTTACCATCGAAAACCTTGCCGTCGTCGAGCTTGCCGATGTAGCGGACACCGACGGTGTCGCCGTTCTTGACAGCGCGGCCAGTGCCAACCTTACGGTCGTCAATGGTGACGCCCTGGACGACTCTGACACCGGTGGCAGGCTTGCCAGCCTGCTTGGCCTTTTCGGCGGAGCCAGTAGGGCCTTGCTCGAGGTTCTTGGCGAACTGGACCTTCTTGTCGGACTTGGGAGTGGTCTTCTCCTCAGTAGCAACAGCCTCGCCCTTGTTGTTCTTGAGCTTCTTCTTGTCCTTCTTGGAGAGCTTGGAGTCGTCGGCATCGGCCTTGATAAGGTCGTCGAGGCTCTCGGCGGCACGCTTCTTGCCCTTCTTGCTGGTCTCAACCAGCTTGGGGGCCTCCTCCTCGTCACTGTCGATCTCCATAACGCGGGGGTCGGCGGTGTCGTCGAGCTCGTCGCTGTCCTCGTCAGACATGCCGTCCATGCCGTACTCAAGCTCATCGGGAGACAGGTCGTACTCGTCATCCTCATCCTCATCATCCTCGGAGCCCCCCTCCTCGTCATCGATAACGTAGTTACCGGTGAGGTGGACAGTGTGGGTGCCGGAGACGACGAAGAAAACCTTCTCGCCCTCCTGGACAGTGATGTCGAGGGGCTGCTGGTAGTTCTGTCGAGTTGTTAGCGGTGACTCTCGAGGGCTTGAAACGCTTTGTGCAACTCACGCGCTCGGTATCGAGGGTGCAGAGAACGAAGTTCTCAAGGTCGAGACCTTCGTCGTCCTCGTCTTCGCTGTCCTCCTCCTCCTCGTCGTCGTCGTCGGCGGCCTTGGCCTTGCCCTTCTTGCTGGACTTACCGTTGGGCTTGGCGTCGTCCATGTCCTCATCAGACTCCTCGGCGGAGACAGCCTCGATCAGCTTCTTGAGTGACTCGGCCTGCTTCTGCTTCTTAGAAGGGTCGCTAGGGCCACCGTTGGACTCATCATCGTCGTCAGATGACTCGTCATCGCCGTTGGCGGCAAGGAGAGACTTGAGGTAGTCCTCATCGATCTCATCGTCCTCGTTCGCCTCGAGGTCGTCGCCGAAGCGCTGCTTGACCAGGCGCAGGGTAGAACGGGGGACGGCGGGGATGTTGCCATCGGCATCAGCCTCAGGGGGCTCGGTGGGATCGATGGCGGCCATAGTGATGCGGAACTAATGATGCAGGGTCAGTCAAGCATCCACGATTGCGAGTCGCGCGCCGGGCGCATGCTGCTGACCCGATCGCAGGCTGCATCCAAGACACACAGGAACGGGGAATTGCAGCATGAGTTGCACATACAGTGGCAGGGAAGTCCGGGGAGGCGGGAATGAGGACTTCGCCGGGGGGGATCTCGAGCCCGTAGAGGGCGACAGGAAGCTGGGCCATTTTGCTGGATGTGAGGGGTTGTACGTGGAAAGAAGGGTAAAGGGTGGTGCTCTTGCACTTGATTACAGGCTTCAAGGGGGTCAAGATAATTAAAGACCTTCTGCTTGAAGTTTTGGTCTAGGTATGAGAAGAATTGAGAAAAGAGGAAGATGGGGTGGGATAGGGTGTAAGAGGGAGGTTGTACAGAAAAGGCGAGGTTCTAGAGGAGCTTTTGCCTGAAATTTTTTTTCCCTCGACGACGGACGAACAGACGGCACTGAACTTTTTTTTTTTTTTTTTTCCCTGGGCTCGACCCCACCGCCGAATCCGCTAGTGTTCCTTATCCTGTCTTATCGCTCTTTTTTCGGCCATGGCAACCGCTGTGCAACGACAGGGAAGGTGTGTCTGGGGAAAGAGCTGCATTGGACCCTTGCCCAAAAGCGCTGAAAAGTTGGATTCCAAGCCAGAAAGGCAACGCTTCCGTGGACGGTGAGAACGCCCCCCGAGCCACCGAGAAGCATAAAGTCGCACACCGCTTTCTGCCTGGTGGTGCGCCGTCTACCACCCAACCCACCCAACGGAGAACAGAATCGAGGTGCAGCTGCTGCCTGGGACCACTTTCGCGATTGGTTTTCTTGAATCGCCTCTTTTTTCCTCGAGTGAATTTGACCGTGATATTTACATCCTTTTTGCACTTTTCCAGCTGCCATGTTACAGTTGGCACAACGAGTCGATTGATTACCTGATGGCAGGTACCTTGAAATACAACACCGCCACCTGCCCAGCTCCAAGTTTGAGTTCGTCGTCTCTCTGACTCACTCATAAAGCCTTCCATTCTATTCTAGATGTTCTTTCTCTGCGTCCCCTTGCTCGGCTTCCCGAACCAAGCCTTGACAATCTGCCACAGAAACCCCATGAAGAACATTGTCTGCCCTTGCTCGTACAACTGCGGCCTGTCCCCGACGTCGGTCATCTGACACCCAATCTCAGCAATCGCTGGGGGGAAGTGTTTCTTGCTGTTTCGCGCGTACGCCGCGACGAGGTCGTTGCCGTTCGTGATGCCGCCTATCATCAAGTCAGACGGTGTGTATTCATCTTGACATGTAGCTCTCGATGAGACGTCCAGTCTTGAGCGAGACGGGTAGGAAGAGGAAGGGTCAACCCAATTCCAAGGAGAAGAGGAGGGAGCGGTGTGAAAGAAGAAGACACAAAACGTACCGCAACTCCAAAAGTTCCCGTCCTGGAACCATCGATACTTCTCCCCTACGAACTCGGCTCCGGGAAACCTCTTTCTCAACACGTCCTGGAAACCTCTCGGCCCACAAACCATCTTCCCCTCCAACACCCCCGCGGCGCCGCACAGGAAGACGCCCGTACAGATGCTCAACACATCCGTCGTTTCCCTCTGCTCAGCGTGATCCTTGAGAAACCCGAGCACGTCTTCGTCCCAGTCTGTACTCGGCTCCGGGCCGGGGACGAGAAGGATGTCCAGCTTGCCTGGCTGCACGTCCGGGTGCGAGATGTCGTGCGTGGCTTGAATCTTGGCGCCCGCTGTGAGTTGTAAGAGACCCAGAGAGTGCGGCTCGGTGCTCTCGCCGCTGGCCGTAGCCGGGGCCGTGATGTAGAAGAAACTCATGCTGGGCGCCAGCGCTGGGATATGCTTTGGCAACATGGGCAGCAAGCTGAGATACTCCTGGGACATCGACGCCAAGACGTCGACGCAGGCCATGTCGAGGAGCTGGCACTCGGTCGGGATGAAAACCCCGACCTTGACTGTCTTGTTGTTCGGCATCTTTGTAATATAGTTTCCCTGGGAATTGCGTATGGGCCAAGACCTGCCGACTTGTTCAAGTACCTTGCTAAACGACTATGTGATGCCCAAAGTTGGCTCTGGTCCTTGAAGCCGAGAATCTGCTTTGAGAAATTGTTCTGATACAACGTTCCATATACGAAGCAAAATCGAGGGAAATTACCAGCTACCTACCTACGAATATATATTAACATACCTCCTGCCGCCATCGAGCATCGCTCAAAGAAAACCAAACCCAAGGCCACCTTCCGCCCCACCACGGGCCCGGATTAGACAGGCGCCTCGAAAAAGTGACCGGAGTCTCGCCAAAGCCAGAGACACGGACCGCCGGTGGCTGATGCCGCAAGCTCTGATTGGGTAGGGTCGACGTAACTTCCGAGAGGTCTCGGGGTCTACCGGCGCTCACCCGCACCACCTCTTGCAAGTTGCTTGCATCCGGTCACCGATCCGTTAGACAGGCCGCCGTTTATTGTTCTGCGGTACTCTTTTGTTCGCTGTGGTCACTGATGAGAGCATACTGTATGTAATTCAAGTCCTGTGATACGGGGATTCTACTAGACTGCTCTATTCTCCAACGTCCTCCTTCAACCTTGCGGCTAACATAAAGATCACAGAATTGGGATGGAAGCATTCATGATGTAATTCACATCAGTTGTATCGTCGTGGCAACGTTTTCCTATTGACCACCGTTCCGATCCACGTCTTAGCGTCAGGTGCCATGATCATGAATCGTTCTATGTACACACAAGATTAGATATTATAGGACTGGTCCATATTAATGGGCTCCGGGAGTCTGTTGTGTGTCGCCATCTCCGTCTTCCCGTTGGAGCCCACTCTCTGCTATTCCTGCTGGGCTCGTCCTGCCCCCAGCGGATGGCAGTCGTCTTTCATCACCCTCCTCCTGGCAACCTTCTGCCACTGGTGGTCGAACCTCGTCATGGTGGCGTGGATATGTCCTACCCGTTCCTTTCTTCTCCGTCTTTCGTATAAGCGAATGCACTTGGACGGCTCTCTCGCTCGTCAAGTTCCTGCGTGTTGCTCCGAGAACTCCGGTTTGAGGCCCCATGAATCCCCGAAAATCTCTAGAATGCCGATACCATGCCATGCCATGCATATCAAGAATGCCCTTATCTATTTACACATGAGGCTCTCAGGAGCCTCAACTTCTTCAAACACATAATCGAGTTATAAAAAAAAGAAGAAAGAAAGAAAAAAAGGACAAAAAACCGCCGCTTGGTGGGTCTTGCTGGAATTGGGCTGTGCGTCGAATCGAAGGAAATAAAAAGGAGCCGCCGCAGCTCGCGCAGTCCGCGAGGAGGCGAGGTCCGCCGAAGAGTAGTAAAAGATAAAATGGAAGTGAATAATTGTCGTTAGGCAAGATCAGCTGCCGTGAGCGATTTCGCTCTTTGCCGGGTAACCTTCTTGCTGACAGAGTAGACAAGGTCCAGTGTCCAGAAATGGCACAGTTGCGCTTGGGCGCAGGGGATGGCACCATAAAGGGGCGCAACCAGAGGGACCATAGCGTAGTCAATGAAGTTCTTCTTAACGGAACGGTATGAAAAATTCATGCCGTCGGACAAGCCAGCCTCGGTCATTTCGCGCTGTCGAGTTTTGACGCAGATGCGGTGGAAGCTCTCGTACAAGAACAGGTAAAGAGCAATCTCCATGAAGCCGAATGTGCGCAGGATGTTGCAGACGTCAAAGATCCAGCTCAGATGCGCCACCTCCTCATTGCCTTCGGTGACCCAGACGTACAAGGTCGAGGAGATGACGAAAATAGTCATCTGAAGAGGCAGGAAATGCGCCTCGAAAAGACGGTGGAACAGGGAGGCAATGCGCTCCCAATTGGGTGACTGCAGGGTATCGTGCGTAACATCGGAAAAGACGCCGCTTTCTCTGGGCTGCTCAGGATCCTGTTGGTCGAGAGGCTCAGGAACGTAAACATCCGAGGCATCACCAATGGAGTTGTGCAGAGGACGGAAAGCGCGAGAGGTGTGCTTCCTCTCCTGCCAGAGCTCCACGACCTTGCGAAGAGCGTATCCAGAGTCGAGAGCACCCCACATGTGTCTCATTGCCTGCTTGTAACGAGCCTGCATGTCCGAGTAGATACCGCGAAGACCCTTGGAGCCGTTGCCGCAGACATTGCTCTGGCTGACGGGGCTGACGACAGTCCTGACAGTCAGATTGCCGTTGAGCGCGAAGAAGCACTTCAGATACATGTGCAAATCTTCTCCGATGGCTTCGTTGTCGCAATCCCAGCCACCGACGCGGTCGACAAGCTCCAGAGGAACCGAGTAAACAGATGTGGGAGGCGCAATGGTCGAGCCGGAGTACAGTCCAGACATACCACCGGCACCCCAGAGGATGTCGGCAACACGGACGATGGCAGGAACGCTGTGGGCGTTGCGGTCGAAGATGATGGGAGCTGCGTACAGGGTGGTGTTGGATGTTTCGGGGTAGGCCAGGTGCATGGTAGTCAGCAACGCGAAAAAGTTGGCTGAGAGATGGCTATCGGCTGTAGGTACCCCAGCTTCTGTCAGCAATTCATCCTATATCTCCAAATTTTGGAAACACTGGCTGCGGCAGATTGCCAGTATCTGACATGCGCACGTACCGTCAAGACCAGTGATGATAACATCCTTGCGGGCAGCCATGGAGTATTTCGGGCTCAGCTTGCGGGCCGCCCAGGCAACATTGCTTCCCTTGCCAGCGGATTCTCCAGGGATATCGGACGGGTGAATGGTGTAATCGATGCTGCGGAACTTTTTGACAAACTCCTGAATGAGGGTCATGGCCTTGAGTTCAACATTGGGCTCCCGCTGTTCCATTCCCAGGTAGACCTAATTAGGCAGATGAGTTAGCGATTGGTTTGATGATGGGACAGTGCACGGAAATGCGCCATCTAACGCCTTGGCGATCGTTGCCTCGGCCGACCAAGACCAACAGTTTTCGGGCAGCGAACAGACGAAACAGGAAATACTCACGTCGTAGCAGCTGCGGGCCTGAGGGTGCGAAGCCAGAACCTCGAGGGTTTCCTTCAGCGTATCCATCTCCTCCTTGTAGTTGGGAATGATGATGGCGTGGATGACGCGATCGGCTTCGCCGTCGGCGTCGGCGTAGAGTTCGGGCTCGGTGTCGCCGGCCTCGCTGCTGGACGCAGAGCAGCCGTGAGAGGAGGTCAATGTCTCCGAGCTCGACAGGGAGGTTGAGGAGCCGCGACGGCGGTGAGAGAACTTGTAATCCCGCAGAGTCTTGTTGCGAGCGATCTTCTTTAGCTGGCGGGTCATGTCGAAGACGGCGTAGCAGCATCGAATAGGGAAGGCGAAGACAAGGACGTGGATGAACAAGCAGTAGTAGGCGTAGATGACGGTCCAGTAGCCGGCGCCCTTGGCCGAAGTCGAGACGCTAAGGCCATCTTGATGCAGATGGTTGTAGCCGTGTGCCGCGGCAGCTGATTCTTTCGAGATGACCCAGTAACTCAGGGCCAGCAGGCCCAGCATGGCTAAGCCGCCGACGCGGCGCGAGGCCCAGGAGAAGATGGACATGGCGATGACTGACGGTGATGTTTGCTGAGGCGCGGTGCCAGCAAAAGATTGATCGACAGGAGAGCGACAGTGACAATTAGTTAACGACGGAAGGCGACGTTGTCTGTCTGTCAAGGCGAGCAGCCGGGAAGGAGAAGCTTGAGGCAGGAAACCCAAGGTAGATAGATGGTGCTCGAGGGAGAGCGAGACCAACAAGCTGCAGGCAACGGGATGGGAGAGGAAGGGAGGAATGAAGAGGGAAGTAGGGCGGAGGCGTAAGAAGCAGGAAACCTCGGGGCCGAAATTGCGAATGGCTACCTGTCGAACTAGAGCCCTACCCAAACAAGTCGATGGTGGTGGTGGTCTCTTGCTCTCTCGCTCTGTCTTGGGTGTTGGGCGTGTGGAAGGGGGAAGGGGAAGGGGGGGAGATGGTGACAGACAGCGGAGGGGGAGAAGAGAGAAAGAGGGAAAAAGGGTGGGATCGAGAAAAAATTAGAGTGCGTCTTGTCGGATGATATTCACGAGGAAGGATGGCGACTAATGGATACGTATGGGCCGGAAGAGAGAGGAGAGGGAGGAAGGAAGTGCAAGGTTGAGAGAGTGTGGATGATTTCTTGGATATGGTGGACACGGTACGGATACAGAGTAAGGTACAAATCCAGTCAGGCAAGATGGTGCGGTAAGGTACCCCGTCCGCTAAGGTGCGACGGGGAGGTACCGCACTCTGCTCTGGAGTCGGTAGGCCAACGGAACGGGGAAAGGGGGCGGCGCGCTTCCCTCCTCTCCCCTCTCCCTTTCTCGCTCACTCTCACTCACTCACTCTCACAGGCTCATCGCTCTTTCTAGGGTCTCCCACACGGAACGTGCTATGTACTACTAGCAGAGTCTTTTCCTTGATGGTGTGCTGTCTGTTGTGCTGGGTCGGACGGAACTGGTTCCAGAGGGCTACCCAGAGGAGGGGGACGTGGAGAGGAAAAGGGTCTCAGGTACCTCAGTCAATACAGCGCCAACACCAAAAACTGAGCGTGGAAAGGCCGATGCGCAAAGTACCTTGCTCTCTTTGTGTGGTATCCTCCCATCCCATGTGCTGCTCCGTTGCCTTCTGCCCCAAGCGTACGGAGTATCGTCAGCAACATATTCTTTGACTCGGTAACGCCTATCCAGGAAGACGCTGGACCGAAATCAGCGTCGGCGAGCTTGGCAGGTACTGACAAGCCCGCCTGCAATGCAAGACGAGAGAAGACGTGCAGACCAGAAGCAAGGGCATAGAATCGGAACTGGGGCCTTGGAGTGGGTGATGGGGGTTGGTGTTAATGAGAGGCCCTCTGGATTGGCGAGACGACAAACCAACTAGGGGCTCCCCGACACCGGTGATAGCAGCCGTAACAGACCGAGGGGAGGTTACTGAAGTACCTTGAGCCCGGAGGATTGAAGCTTTAAGCTGCGGCGCCGGGCAAAGACGATGAATGAATGTGAGGGTAGAGATGGTTCCAGTGTGGCATTGGCCGGTCTAGGCTGACCCTGGTTGGAGAACTGAATTAGGATTGGCTCGAGACAGCACATAGTCCCGCTCTCTCTCAGTGGTCCATCTATCCGGGAAGGGACTGGGGTGTATGCCGTGCTGGGGCTAGTACGTCTGGCCCGCTCGCGTCCGGTGGGCTGCCTCTGCCTCTCACCATTGTCTGTGTCTCTCGCGTAGTCTTCTTACACATCCTCTGCCTCGATAAGTGCTTTAGCGCGAAAGGGACGTGGGTTCGCAGGAAGGGAAAACCCCCCGCCCAGAAGGGGGGTGGGGAAAAAAATGGACTGGGGTGTCACAGGCAGGCAAGCGGAGACTGGCTGCGTTGGGAATTTTCTGCGCTTGCACAGAATCGCCCCGCGGGAAATGAGGTGTGGGAAATTACCGAGTAAGCGGTCATTGTGCAGCACTGTGTGTACCTACGTTGGGCCCCGCTCTGCATGAGAAAGAGAACAAAGCCTGGCCGCATGCTACTTGTGTCTTTGTTATTAATTGGTCACCCATTGCCTACCTACCTAGCAAGAAGAGGAGCCATAGGTACGGTACCATGCAACAGACAAGAGACAATAGAAAACGACAACCATACACAAGGCAGGCATGGCGGCCCGTCTATTCGCCTTTGTCGATTGCTGCTCCGATTGTCGATTGAAGCCGAGACGTAGTATCTGCCAATGCCTGCCCTATACTACCCTGACCCGGGCTGGACCTTGGCTAGGGGTTACGTCTTTTTGTGCGTTCAGTTCCATGCGACGGAGATTTGTCTGGTCTACTACGTAGTGTGCCCCAGACAAGGTAGGCATCGACATCAGGCCAGCGGCAACGCATGAGATCTTTCCTTGGAGTATGTATATTGCTGATAACCACGTTGACGATTTTACAAAGGTGATGCATGTGACGGCGTCATCGGCAGGCAATGGACAGTAAACCTATGATGTGTGTTTAAATGTCGTCAGCACCGCCGCACTTGGCAGACGGGTGGGTGGCTTAGCCGGCATTGCTTGCGGGACTCGGCTACCGGTACTAGGCGGTCAGCATGATACCCAGGCCTTTCTTCCTTTTCCTCTTTTTTACTGGGCCCTACAATAGCCTCCATTGTGCCCAGCCTCATTGCGCAGCGTCAGCTCTTACTACGCTGTTCGTTTGATAGACTCTCTCGAGCCGTTGGCCATGAGTCTGCATTCATTCATTTATTCAGTCATTCGAACAAAACATGCAGTTAGTTACGTATGTACCTGCGTGGGCACTGCATACCTAGGTACCGGTAGGTCTACTCAGTGGGCAGCTGAGACGTAATTTGACAGAGGTCCCACACAGTGCGCATATACGCTACTGCAATGCCCAGTCCAGAGGTCAAGGCCCGCCTGCTGCCTGTGCTTCACCCACGCTAGGGGCGCCGAGATGCCGTAAGGTCGCTCCTCCCGCTCTGACGAACTGGCTCGCCCAAACGGGATATCTAAGAAAAATATTCATACCTGCCCCCCCCCCCCCCCGACTAACGAATTTGCAGCGCTCGATCTGGGGCGCCACAGTGCCCCAGTACCCCAGTCAAGGGTGCAGTGCCCACAGCTAGCTTGGTGACCTCCTGTGTCTACCCAAACTGCCTACCTACGAATACTATTCCTCCTACCTCTCTCCACCTATCGCCAACCAGGTAAGTACAGCGTCTGACCGGTGCTGGGGTGGGAGCATACCTAACGTATACGATGTACGTACCGATACAGCCCATCCCATCTCATCAACTGGGGCTGAACCGAATTTGAAAACTCTCGCTCCATCCAAGTCCTGCGGAAGGAGGCCCAGAGGTCGGGCGTCGTTTGTCAGCCCTCTTTGGGGAATAGGAACCGGCCGGGAATAACGAATTGGACCTGTGGAGGTTCGAGAAAAGGAGGATTTGATACCTGCCTACGCTTGCCAGGTTCTGATGCTTAGCCATCACTATGAATGCATAGCCATCACTACGAATGCATAGCCAAGTATCCGTAATAGTGCACTAGAATGAAGCTGCTAACTTAGGCGGACGGGCGGTATCGTAAGCCAGTCGAAGCTTAACCGCGCCTCACCAGTCGAGCCCTTTTCGTCTGAGGTCCAGTGTTTCCAGGCCCGATTCCCAAAGAAAGCTTCTCTCGCCTTGCCTTCCCTGGCATGGACGCGCCTAGAGCTGAAAGCTCCAGGGTTGAAGAAAAAGCACATTTCAGGCTCAGTAACCCGTAAGGCAGGTATGGTTCTCAGGGCTTTTACCAGGACGGCTTCTGTCTCGACAATACCTGGAAACACCGGCCAAGGTGTTCAAGTCCTTTAACTACCTACCTACTTACCTACTTAGCTACTTACCTACTTAGCTACCTTTTTGGTCCCTTCGTACCTCATCCTTGCTTCCCCCCAACGTCACCAGCTCGAATTCGTTTCCGGCCGCTGACCGACTGACCGGTCTGGTGGACCGTCGAACAAACAACGCCGACTTGTGGGAGCATACCGGCGTGGTTGTGTTTGTGTCACCAAAGCCTTGGCGGGCGTGGCATGCAAGATAGGGGGAAGCCGCAGCTGCCTGTTGAAACAGCCCCAGCGCACTCACGTTAGAATCCATTGATATTCGACAAGGCCTTTCCGGTACTTGCCATCTGGATGCATGAGCATACCCAGTATCAATCATTCGATGACAGAAAAAGACGCTAGTGTGTCAGTCTTTCGATTAAGCATCCGCACTTTATTCTTAGAAGCGTTTGCTGTCTGTACCCGCGTTTTGCCGGATGGACGACTAGCAGGATTGTCATGCGCCGTCCATAGACCATGATCACCACCTTGTGTGCCACGCAACGACGAAACAAAGGCGGTATCCTAGGCTACCCGTCGTGGCTGGGTCTCCGCCCTGCGTACGTGCGTGCGTGCGTGCGACGACGAACCGAAACACGCGACGGGCAGATGTTCTCGCCCGTACCGCGCTATCGTCGAGGCCTGGGAGATTCCCTACTACAGAGCTGCGGTGCGCCTTACCTCTCTACCTAGGTAGTGTAGTCACCCGGCCATATGCAGTGCCGAGCGATACGTACATACGCCAAGCGGAGCAATCGTAGCTCGGTTTAGGAAGCGTCTGCTTGCCTGTTGACATCTTTTACACTCTCTATTGGTCCGTCCATGCACTCAATTCTGCGGCACTTGTACAGGTTGTCGCATATCCAGCTTCGGCCGTTGAGAGGCGTGCTTAAGAGGTGGGGGGGGCTTTAAGCGTGATAGACTGTGGCTGCCGTCGTCATCCACCGTAGGCACGTTGCGGCATCGTCGTCATCAGGCAACTTGATACTACACAGTACCCTGGAGAAATGAGTGTCAAGGTTGCCAAGAAGACAACCGAGTAGGGGGAACATGTCCACACAAGCGAAGTGCATACGACGACGTAGGCATCGGCAGTGTAAAACAGCACGCTCACCAACATATCATCTCATGCGCCATTTTGAATTTCGAATTTGCTGGGACGCGACTTTTCGGTTTCCGCGGGGCCGCGTCAATGATCGCGCACCATGCAACACACAACCCAACCTGAGACCCGTTCTCCGGCTTTTCTTCTTCTCGTTCCTCTCATCTCTCATGCATATGGCTAAGTCGCCGCGCTCATGTGATGGGAAGTGTTCGTGCAGTAAGCTGGCCAGAAGAAGGAAACACTAAGCTCTGGCCAGACCTCCGCCGGGGACCATGGTCTACCAAGCCGCCAATGTTACCTTGCCTGTCAGGATTTGCAACGGCAGTAATTAGCGACTGGCAGCCGGTGCGGGAGATTTCGACCTGCATGCCGTCGACTTGGATATCCCAGCCACGCCGCCCGGCACAAGCATGTGCGACTCCCCAGTCTCCCCCATGTGCTCACGGACTCGGACGGTTGAAATTGATCAATGTAGGCTCGGCTCGGCGTGGCATCAGGAGCCGCATGCACTTGGTCGAATGGCGCCGTCGGCTTCTAGCGAATTTCGCCAGTCCTACGGAGTAGACATGGTGCAGTACACACACCGCCCCAGGCCAACTCGGGTATCCGTGCCATTGAGAGCATTCATCCCAACTTCGAAGCCCACCTACCTAGGTACTAGTGCCTCCTCTTCGGTCTTGGTCTGGAGCAGCAATGAAGACGCATGTGAGATCAGATGCACATCGTGGGTTTAGCACACCAAGAAGGCAAAGAAAGGCAGCAAGAAGTATTCATATACGACGCAGAACAATCTCAACATGGGCCATGCTGACGAAGAGGCGCTTACAGGGCTCAAGGGTAGCGAAGGAAACGAACGGACCACGCCGACTATTCTTCCAACTGACGACGCTTGTTCCCCCAAGCCGCGCATTATGCTACATACAGAGATGCCCTCGCTCGACGCCGGTTGATATGGCGAAGCTTCCCAGCCGCTCTCTCCACTTTCATTTGCAGTCACAAGCGAAGGCGTGGCTTCCGCCATACCGCACAATGCGATGCCGACCCCGAAAAGGGCCGGATACCACTGCCGTTGAGGTGCATCACACGCACTCTGGACACATCTCCTGCCTCAGTGCCACATTGCAGCATGCATACCGGACCGGGCACCTGTGGCCTCAACCTCGAACCCCCCCCCCCACCCGACAAAAGCATCTTCCCATCTCCGGCCGGTAGGTAGGAATCACACGCAATTTCGTACCGGGGGGCCTGGTGAAGGTAAAGGGTCCGCCCTGCTTGATGCCGCGGCCCCTCAACCTGGGAAGGGGGGCGATCCAATAATGATGCCAGCTGCCGGACGGTGGGGCGAGTCAGCCCTTGGTGGGCCAGTGTTTGAGATTGAACGTTTCTGATGCCCCGAACCTGACTGGCCGGATGGGTTGGCCAAAGGCAAAAAAGATGGAGTGCCAGGTTCCCCTGTCAACCAATCACCCGTCGAAACCACCCGGCTGCCAACATGATCTTTTCGTCCAGTCCGCCTTTCTGGGAATCGCCCGTCTCCGTCTTAGTCAGCGGGGTCGATTCCTGGAAGAACGAGAACGAGCACCTCGTCTCGCGGTTGCTGACCCTCGTTCCGACGACGATGACAACGACGACGGCGCCGCCGCCGGGGGGTGCTCCAATCTTTGTATCGCGCAGCGCCCACATCGACCCGCACCCGCGGATCGCCATATCCTGCACCGTATGCGGACGACTATGTGGACTCGACGGCGGGCATTCGTAGACGAGGAGCCTACTACTAGTACTCCGTAGTAAGGAGAAACGATAGATTGTCAAGGAATGAAGCTCGCCCCTCCCCCGTCATACCACACGCGTCAACGATTCAACCACTCTGTCGCGGCGTACGCCCTTGCATGATCACAATTTTGCTGATTTACGCTGCCTTGGCGAGTCCGATCCCGTCGGTTCTGCGCTGGCGACGCTTGCTGCCTGTTTCATTGGCTCAATCCCCTCGTGCTTCTGCCAGTTGAAATTAAAGTTGAAAAACTCGAGCTTGAGTCGGCAACCGAGTTTGCCAAGGCTGCCACCGCGCGTATTTGGGGGTTCCCGACGCGTATTCGGCACACCACACCACGTTCAACGACGTCGAGGACTCGCAGCCCAGGAGTCTCGAACGAACTTCTCCGAGACGCCAGCTAACACCAGGCCATATGATGTTTATCGAGCTTCCCGGCCTTCAACACCCGTGGCCACAATCTTGCAAGTCGCATGGTTGATGATCTGCCAGTGAGACACAAACTACGTTTGCATGCACCAATGTGACCCCCAGACTTCGTCTGACTGCCAGTGGCATGTCTCGACATATTTGGCGATTCGTAAATTAGCCACGTGATATATACCCACGACATCCCCAAGAGCGCCCGCTTGCAGACAGACGGCCATCGGGCCCGTCATGTCGGCCGACGAGTACTGTGCTTCAAGGAGGGAAACAGCTGTGAAACAGGCCCTGCAAAGACCGCCGAGATGGGCAAACCTTCGTCCTACATGAGGCATGGCGGAACCATCACAATCCTGAGTAGTTGCGTTAGCAACGAGATGAGATAAGGGACCTTTGGGGTCTCAGGGGCCGGCTGTGGTAGATTTTCCAGGGGTCGAGACGATGGCCCGGCCGAGCCAGCTGCTAATGACACACGGTGCTTTCCTTTCTTCGTCTCCTGCCTCCCACCCCAAACTGCAAGCGGCCGAACAGTCAGCGTCAATGCCTCGACGACAGACGACAAAGCACATCGTCTCATAGATTCAACAGCCGTTTGGGGCGGGGGACACATGGGCCGTGGCCACTGAAACTGTGTGCACCAAACGCCCCCTCAAGGCCGGAGAAAAGGAGAAGAGTAAGAAAAGGGAGAAGAAAAGAAAGCAGAAGAAAAAAAAAAGAGAGAAGAAAAAAGCAAACCTACCACCCGCCCAAGGTCTTACATCCCCGATGACCCCCCGATGGGCTGGACGGACCGACCCGCCAGTCGCCTCGCAGGGACTTATTGACTGACATGTCGTATCATCGGATCCGGGGTGACACCTTCGGTTGCCCTGTGCACACGTACACGACCCCCGGCACGCCATTGCTACTGCCGGTCGGAATCGTCGTCGCCTCGGGCTTCGCCCCGGCTGGGGGAAACACTTGGCGGCCAGCGGGCGGTGGATGTTGATGTACCGATCGGACAGCCGTCTGGCCGACTTTCCCGCGACCGACGTACCAAGCGGGAATCGCCCAAGGCTTAAAGGGGGTCACTGAAGCATGGGGTGTCATTGATATGTGTTTGTTGGCTCCGTGTATTCATGTACCAGCAAGGGAAACGACGCCCTGCAGTCTTTTGTGATGGCGACTATCTATGATGCTACGAAGATACGAGGTTAGGCCCCCATCGCGAAGATCGGACTGCCCCATAGTCTTCGTGTTCATCAGTCTCATAGGCCCCCTTCGCCCCATCGGGAACTCGGCGCGGATGAGTGAGCGACTGTCATCGGCTTCATCGGCCACGAAGGCTTGCGGTCCCCACGGACGCAAGATGCCGGGATATCTTCGGGCTGTTACGCCCTACTTCTTCGCTCGGCCCAGCCCGGAGATGGACCGGCAGGATTGCGTCCTCCACTGAAGGCCAATGAGCTAGACTTTGATCTGCCCAGTCCCCCAACCCCCAACACGCCGGGAGAGTAGTTCTACCTGTGACGCGTTTCGTGGTGCGTTTGTCCATCACCACGTCGTTTCAACAGTAGTCCGAGTCTTCGCGACCTTGGAGTATACTACCACCTTACACTGCGAGCCGAAGAGGCATATCTTTTACTGGCCACGGTCTGCAGGCCGGGCGCGCCAAATGTGTATTCAGTAATGGGGCACCAGAGCACTGTACTCAGAAACAGCTCAGATAACCTTCTCGAAGAGTTCTTGGATGGGTTTCGCAGCCTGTATCGACGGGTCAGTAGCACGCACACCTCCAGTGGAAAAGGGGAGGGCAAACATCAATAAACTTCTCGAGGTCCTTGTCGAGGTTGGCCAGGTCGTCTTTGCGTTTCTTGTTGTCCGCGATAAGCTTCTGCTTCCTCCCGACGAGCTCCAGCCTCTGATGCTCAAGGGCCTCGCGCTCCGCCCTCTCGTGGCCGATTCTCGCAATCATCATAGCGTTCTCGTCATCGCCAGCGTGCTCGGGATGCAACGCGACAAAGTCGTCGACGGAAATGAGGGGGAGCTTTTGGTAGGTATGACTACAGGGCACCCAACTGTCAGCGCGCGCGCGTTCTCTCGAAGCCCAAAAACCGGTCCACCACGGGTGGCGCAACATACTCGTAGGACTCGCACGCCTCGATCTCGCCCTCGAGGTGCCGCTGCTCGTAATACAGGTTCTGCAGCTGAAGGTGCAGGCGGTCGACCTCGTGGCGGGCCTCGGCCGTCTGGGCCTTCGTGTCCCTGGCGTCGAAGTTGGCTGAGCGATGCAGGCCGCGCAGGTGGGAGATGTTCGTGAGCAGTAACTTCTGCTCCTTGGAGAGCGTCGCCTGCAGCTGTTCGACATCGCCGCTGGCGCCCTCAGCCCGGGTGATATCGGAGAGGAGCTGCAGAAGCTTGAGGGCTTGGTCCTGAGCGTAGCCGGAGGTCTGCAAGACCGCGCCCAGCTTCTTGTCCGATACCAGGTCGTTTACGGCCATGGCTGCGGATCGGGGAGAGGCCGTCGCGGAGGGTAAGGCCGACACGGGTTCGATACGGGGTGCGATACGACCGATGTCCGTCCGGCCGGATCGCTTGACTGAAGGGCAAGCGCAGTCTGTCTGGCAAAAAAAGGCTTGTGGCGATCGGAACGCGAGGTTCGTCGGGCACGTGTCGGAATGTGGGTTTCGCACCACGCGCAAGGCTGAACGAACAGTTGGCGGGGCCGGGTCGGGTCGGTGTTGACAGGGCAAGACAGGCAGGCAGGCGGGCGGGCGGGCGGTGCCAGGGATGGCTCGTTCAGGCAAGAGGGCCTTTGTTTGCAGGACTTTGTGGGCAAGCGCAGTCCAGTCGTTCCTGGCTGTCGGTTTTTCTGTTCTTTTCTTTCTTCTCGAGCTCGATCAAGCCTTCTGTGAGTTGCAGCATCGCTTGATCGGGGGCCCCATTGGCTGCGACATGGCGGACGGTGGAAAATCAATGCAGCCGCTGGGGGCCGTGCTTCTCAGCTCCCAGCGCTGGAGGCGATAGCGTCCCGTCCCACCCTCCCATCCATTATCGACTGGAGACTGGCTCCATCCAGTACGAAGTATTCATTGACTACCGAGGTACGTAAGTAGGTAGGGTACGTACATGGACCGTCCAGGTGTTGGGGCGAGTCGCCGTGAATCCACATATCACTACGCGCCCCTGGCAAATGCCACACTCTTTGGCCGTCAAATCATCCCGTCTCAATGCTTAGGCCAGCAAGAGTGGGCAAGACACGGACGGTCCGTATCAGGAGGAATGCACCGCAACTCTGCCGGAACATTCATCGCAGCTCGAGGGGTATGCATGAGCATGAGCATGAGCATGGGCATGGGCATGGGCATGGGCATTGGCAGGATGCCCATTGAGGACGCCACTTTACATATCTCACTAGTCGAAAGACGTTATCGCACGGCGCTGCTGAGAAGTCTAGGGTTGCCATCACAAGGCACGCTAGGGCGGAGGTTTTGCGGCCTTCCTTGGCTTGCTTGCCTCAGCTTCAAGTCTGGCGTTGCCGGACTGCCGCAACTAGGGCTACGGAGCAGAAGCATGAGCATGACGAGCTTTTGGAGAGGGTGCCATCCAGAAGAGCATGAGAGGCATAGGATAGAGACGGAGAAGGATATACATAGTAGATTGAAAGAGATCATGTTTCGTGCTTCTGTACATGACACACATGACGGCGGCTTGCCGACTTGCCCTCTCCGAATGAGATGCCTCCGAGCTCTCTCATGCAGTTTGTTGTTCGTCAGGGATCTTCGAGAGTTTGTGCGGTGTATTCTCACCCAAGGGAAAGCTCATGTTGGAAGCCAACCTGAGACTGTTGATGGGTCTCCCAGCCCAACTAGCAGTACGTCAGTCACAAGGCATTGACAGCCGTTGGGGACCAAGCCCCGCTTATCTTCTGCCTGTACTGTCACTGATGACCGTCATCCCCAAGCCTTTTTGCTCATGTCTATTCGTACGGACATGTTACCAGGCATGGCCGGCTGCCGCCTGCATATTTGGACATTTGGGATCTTACAACACTTCTAACTGCGTGCCCCAGAGGCTCGGATCCACTGACCAGTAGTGACGGTCGTCCGTAGCAGCAGAGGGGGGGGGGGGGACGTGGCCCTCGTCTGCTCTGGGCGCGGGCGCGCCATGGGCCCGAACTTTACCGGCGCGCGTGCAACGCATTACCCGCCCGGAACGGCATATGCGAGGTGCGAGTCAAAGAAACAGAAGTAAGTATACAGTCGCTGATTGAGCGTGGGTTATTTGTCGTCTGTCACTATTGTACTAAGTCACAATGCGCGCGTGGGGAGGGAGAGAGAGAGAGAGAGATTAGAGGCAAGTACCAACTCTCGGGCCAGTGACATTTACTGTGTGCTCCTACGTGAGGCAGTTTGTCATGTGTAATTTCGACATTGGCAAAGCGTTTCTTAGTGTTGGATTTCGCCTCCACAGTCTCTGCTCCCACACTCTCCCGATAGGCGGATCTCAGGTCCCTGCCCCCCCGTTCGACTTGGGCAAGGGTATCTTTTTTTTTTTCTTTCCTTCTCTCACTCTAGAAGGCTTTTTCCCTCAGCTTAGGCTACTCGTAGTCCAGTCTTTAATTCCCTTTCTCCCCCATCTTCTTCTCTGTACGTATAGACAGACGTCCGACGCACCGGAATTCTGTCTCCTGGAACAAAGCATTCTTTCGTCCCAAGAAAATTGCCCCCCCTTCGCTCTGTCCATCTTTGATCTGCCAAGTTCTCTCTTGTATTTTGTCTCTCCCTTTGACAACGACCGAGACTAAACAAAGACCCAAAACACAACTCCAAACGTACGTGCAAAGAAACCGCCGTCCGTCAGCAGCTCCCTGGCCCTTTTCTTTTTTGGAGCAGCTTTCCGCATAAGCAGCCAAGAGGTGGTCGCGGCCGCAGGCCCGCAGCGAGATTCGCCATCCTCCTCTCAGGGTCCAGGTGTTCTGTCGATCCACACTCTACCGCTTGGCCCGGCCAATCCAGTTCCCGCATTGTTGAGATTCCGCCGCCCGCTGCCCGAGTGCCTCAACAGACTACGTAGTAGAACGTTTTTTCTTTCCGTGGAGGTGCCCGTCTCTGACGTCTCGGTCCCTGACTGGACATTCGGTTCCTACTAGTCCGCTCCACACTCTTCCGTCCGCCCTGCCCCCTCCCCCCCTTTGGTGTATAAGCCAATTGTTTCCCTCGCCTCCCTCCCGTGGGCTTATCCGTAAACATTGACTCGTCCGCAACTACAACAACAACCCTCTCTTTCACCCCTAAACACAAGAGTCGCTGCATATTCTCTCGGTGTAACACACCCAAAACCACAACTACGGGACTATATCACACGTGCGAACGGTGCAATCAGGAACGACGCATACGATAACCAAAATTCAACCCCGGCTGCGGTCTTTCCAACCGCCGAGCCCAAGCATTAGCCGTTCGAAGCCGACTACGGTTTCCGTTGACTTAAAAAAAGAAAACCCCCCGTTGGCCGAGTTATGGAACCTCTCGCCAACATGACTTCTCTTAAGTCACCCTGCAGCGGCGCTGCCGTTCAAGACGACGAAGACTACACGACAGCTACGACGTCAGGCGTTCAGACCGAAGGCATCGAACTCGCTCGGAAAAGACGACACTCCTTTATTCCCAGGCGCAAGTCTATCGTCAATCACATCATGGATGGAGAGGAGCACTTGCTACTCAAGGTAAGTTCACATGTTCTTGGTGGATTGAGCCGGTCTGGTGTTGCCCGGGCTCTGTTGTTCTGTGCTTCCTACACCGGCGAGGTCGGGCCAAGATAAGATTACAGCCCAGAGAGGGAACAATGGACGGCTGACATGTACTCGTTACACCCAACAGGTCGACCTCTTCCTGACCGAACTCGAGCGCCGCCTCGAGTACCTTGAAAACTACGGCGAGCTCACCTTCGACTCGAGTATTTCTCGCGCTTTTTCCACCCTGCAGACCGTCCGCGCACGATGCTCCCACGCCTCGGAGGAGGTCCTCGGCGCCGGCCGCAGGCGTCTGCACATTATGGTGGAGACCCTCGAGACCCGCTACCAGGGCGCCTTGGCCTCAGCCGAGTCTCTCAACGAGAAAGCCCGGGTCGGCATCGAGCTGCTTGATGACATGCTCTCCGAGTTCGAGAACCGCGCCTATAAATTGCGTGAGCAAGGTCTTGCCAACGCCGCAGACGCCGCGGGTGCTTTTATGAGCGAGGGTCGCCGCGTCGTCGATGGCGGTATCGAGCTGGCGAGGGAGGTCGTCGACGAGGGTATCGAGAGGGCAATGCGCGCTGCCGAGAGCCTCGAGGAGAAGATCGCCCTAGCAGTTGCGCGGGCTCGCGAGACGAGGCTCATCGCCTACGACGACCTGCCCATGCCGTGGCGCATCAACCCGCACATCCGCGAGGGGTACCGCTTCACCGAGTCCAAGCTCGAGTGCATTTGGTCGGCCTTCGGCCTCTCCAACGAGCTCGTCAACATCTGGTCGCACGCCATCGGCCTCTTCATCGTGCTCGCCGTGGCCCTCTACTTCTACCCGCGCAACGCCAACTTCCAGTTCAGTACAAAGACCGACATCTTCATCGCTGCCGTCTTCTTCTTCACTGCCTGCCTAACACTTGTCTGCTCAACCATCTGGCACACCATGAACGCTGTCGCCGACGTCGACGCTATCTCCATCTTCGCCTGCGTCGACTACACGGGCATATCGCTGCTCATCGCTGCCTCCATTGTCACGACCGAGTACACGGCCTTCTACTGTGACCCCGTGAGCCGCTGGCTCTACATGAGCACTACGGCATTCCTTGGCATCGGCGGCGTCATCCTCCCCTGGCACCCGACCTTTAACGGAGCGGACATGGCGTGGGCGCGCGTCGCCTTCTTTTGTGGCCTCGGCGCAACCGGCTTCTTGCCGATCCTGCAGCTCTACTTTTCCCACGGTCCCGACTTCGTGTGGGAGTTTTACACCCCGATCGGCAAGAGCATTTTTGTCTACCTCCTCGGTGCGTTCGTCTACGCGAGCAAGATCCCCGAGCGGTGGTGCCCCGGCATGTTCGACTACATCGGCGGCAGTCACAACCTGTGGCATCTGGCGGTCCTGGGTGGCATCTTGTTCCACTACACGGCTATGCAGTCCTTCTTCGCGAACGCGTTTAGACAGGCGCAGGGAGAGTGCTCCGTCTTCTGAGGCTGAGGCGTAAACGTGCGGCAGCCTGGTTCGTCTGACACGCATCTTGACTTCCAATAACGGAGAGTCGGATGCTTGAACAAAAGGCTGCCGCGGACGTCCTAAGGCCCGCCTCTTCTCTTGGGGAGAGAACAACTCGCCAATGCCAAAAATCTAGGTCTCCATGATGGCTCCAACTGCGCAAGAGGAGCGCCGCGAACACCATACGTAATACGGGGCAGCTATTGTAGCCCCGTAGTTGCCGACCAGGAGCCACTCCAGTCCATGAACGCCCTGCCGGATTTAATATCTGCCTCGGCGCTTTGCTGTCCACACGTCAATGCTGGTAGGTCAGCCTCGGAGCCGGCACAATTCCGTTTGTCGGGGTGTGCCTGGTCGAGCTCTTAGCATTGCTCTATCGGACGCGCTTCGGCGGCTTGGAAGATTGAGGGTTGCACGCGAACAATGACAAACACTCCCTTTTGACCAACGTCGAATCTGGTGTCCCTAAGGGTACGATAGGGCCCAGATCAAGTCGATATTCTTACCATGCGAGTCGTTCGCAAAGGATGGCTGTTATCCAATAATGATGTGACCCAGGTGCACCCGCGTTATGACCATCAGATAGATTCCGCCTACATTAACTCACACCAACGCCTTAGCTCGTTATAGAGTGGATCATAGATTAGATCGTGGTTTTGAGTAGCAGCATAAATAATAAGTAGAAGCGCCGGGGAGAGAACCCCCATATAGAATCGATACCCATCTGTTCGGAATCTTCGTCGCTAGTCGCTATTTCGCTGAGTTGTGAATGCCACGGGCCATTGTTGCACGATTCTATCCCTTGATGTCTGGTGGAACGCTGCAGCCACATTTCAGTGTTGCTTCGTTGCAGATGACCGAGAGGTTCCTGCGCCAGCTTTCGGATTTCCCTTCCCGCGCGCATTGCCATGTATCATGCCTGTCTTTGGGTGTTTTAGGCACTGCTGACATCTGGGGTTCTGGCAGAGGGGAGCGGATCTGCGAGGCATATGAGCCACATGGATTTTCTATTTTTGGTACGGTATAACCGCATTCCTGAGTGCATACGCTGGCTGCGGCCAAAGCCCGGCACCCGCCGGTACATATCGGCTTGCCGAGCGGCTTCGTGCGGATCCGCAGCCAACGACTCCGAACGGCGTTGCCACTCCCAGCGTTGAATGCATCGCTTTCCGGTTCCCCGACCAAGTCTGTCCGCTCCGTTTTCAGGGGCCTTAACGTCGAGCCTTCAATGGCCGCCTTGGAATCAAGTGTAGGGCGAGCTCGGGTCAATCGATGTCTAGATAGTCGAAGCATATGAGAGATCACCGCCAGCCAAACTTCGAGATGGAAGCTCGGGACCCATCGTGACCGAGAACCAGATCGAGGCCGGTTCGCCAGAGATGGCGGCAGAGAGAGCAGCCCATCCAGGACGGATTACAAATGATGGCAGAACATTCGGCTGTCGAGTCGAAGATCAATTGCGGGATGCAAATCGAATCTCCGTCGAAGACACTTGTAGCAGAGGCCGTGCAAGCTTCCCCCGAGCCGCAATCGCCTGGGTTGGCATCTCTTTCGCCCTCGAGGTTGATTTCTCAATAGGCCTTTAAGCACCCAATAATACCTCGGGTACTTGCCTATCCGTTCACCAAGCCGAGTATCAACTGCGACGGTCTCCCCTACATCGTGTCTGGACGCTGGTGGATCTCGTCCAACCCGTCTCTCACGTCGAAATCTCATCGCCGCCTTCTTTAGGGATGTTCCCAGGCTGGACGGACGACTGGAACAGTCAGCTCGACGACATCAAGACCGCTGAGCGACATATTGCAGACGGGTCCACGCCACGCCAAGACACGCATCCAGAACACAAAGGACGGCCTCCTTTGAGATTCGTACCGCTGGTATCTGCATCACGCCAACTTCTGGCTGTGTCTTGTCGATTTGTAGAGCCTCCTGCTCTAGATCGGGGGGGGGGGGGGGGTCGGGGGGGGGGGGTCAGGGCAAGGGTAATACGATACTATTGCGCGGTATCATAGACGAGTTGGAGAACCCTCAACATGATGTTTAGCTTCTTTTGACAAGCCACAGAGAGAAACCTTAACAACGTAATGGATGTGCTACGAGGTCTG